TCCGTATCAGGGAGAGTACGAGACACCGAGCTCGTACTCTGTGAAGACACGAGTGTCTTCATGACCAACGCCTGCATCACCAGGTGATACAGGCTGAGTCGATTCAGCAACCGATGGGACATCAGTTGCTGTAGTTTCTGCTTCGGCGTCCGCACAGAGACGTGCAGACGCGCTCTCGGCGGCCTTGCTCGCGCATCGCATGGGCTTGTTTACCATGCGATGAGATGTTGGAAAGTGGACGCGGACCAACAAGTGCAAACCCCGTCCCAAATGATTTGGGACGAGTATCCATTTAGTCAATCAGTCACTAAAGTGACTGATGGTTAAGGGGGTGATGTAACGGGGTGAATCGTTACATAACAATTTGTAAGAAATTGTTAATAGAATATAACTATAAGAGTTATATTCTCAGAATATTGTCATAAGGACAATATTCTGTAGCACTTCCAAGTAGTTCCTAATTGGTTGATATAGGCCATTATATCAACCAACGAAGACGCGCCACGACAGACGCACGCAATGAGTGGTGAGCAGATAACTGATTTACACATTTGTATTTAGACATAGTTAGATGAAGGTAAATAGTGATTTATTGCAGACATTAACTATTATAAATACAGTTCTACTTTTTACTCTAACCAAGTACTCGCTTCTTCTTACCGTCTTCCTCTGCACGTACGAGTGTACGTGAAGTTACGAGGCACCGCCTTATTCTGTTATCAGAATAAGTAGCTTGTACTGTCACCAGTACAAGCTTCAGGGTGCCCCGTTACAGAACCAGAAGGAGATGCAATTATGGCCAGCGTCAGTAGATGCGACTGACATGGAGGTGCCGAACTCGACACAGAAGCACTGCAATTTATGGAGAATCGAGATACATTTTGTCGTTCTTGCATGTGTTAGTTCACCTTTTTGCGTCGTTTCGTTGGCTCAACTCGTATCGCCTGCGTTAGGGAATTAGTCGTCCCAGTTCTCAATCGCAAAGGTTGCTCGATTGTTGTCGAAGATGCGCTAGGAGTAGCTTTCTGCAGCAATGGTCCTTACGCTGACATACCTAGCTTCGATCCGAAAAGTCTATCCTCACCCACAAAGTGTGTCTCCGATCTGTAGCCTCGACAGGACTTACTTTTGAGGGTACGTTGTACATATCTACAGCGGATTCCAGTCTGGTCACATCTACCACCGGGCTTTGATTTTCTGGCTGCTGTACTGTTTGTACACGTTAGTAGTCGTGACATGGATGCAGCAAAACCTTCCTACCAATTATTGTCGGTTGATGAGTCCACTCGACCCAAGTCACGTGCCTGATGATTGCAGCATGCGAGGTACGTTTGCATTCTGCAATAGCTGCACTTCCCTGCGCTGTCAGGTTCGTTTGGTTTGTTGCAGTGAGTTCGGAGAACGGACGTGCGTGTCACTGACAAATTGAGTCATCGACGCAGGAGAAAAGGTAGAAAGACTCCTCGTGGCACTCACGCATCAGAGATCTGCGTACGCAGTGATGCATACAGCTAATGCACTTTCTGGATGACTGGCACGTATACGTTGACGTCCAGCGAGTCGAATCGCAGTTTCGCGGACAAATGAAAGTCATGGCATTCGCGTCTCTTCTTCTCTGCCTTGCTTCGGTATATCGCACGTAGACGGACTGTCTAACGAGAAAGATAGTCGCAAGCAGGGGCGTTGCGCAGGCGTCGCGACGGATCTGATTGTGGCGACGTAGATAATCTAGTCAAGAGGATGTCTGCAAATCGACTAAAGGTTGCTGCAGCGGATTTTTGTGCACTCTGTCTGCACTGCACAGCACAGAGAGCTCACACGCGACTCTCAGCTGTCTGATAATTACTTACTACTACATCCAGGTATTTTGTGCCTACAGACAGCACAGTCTCGACACTCAGTAGTGCCTTTCTGATAACAAGGAAGACGTGCGGATCCCACTCAGCCTGGCAGGGCGAGGTTCCAAAGTCCGAAGTCGTCCTCGGGACATCCGTTTTGTCCAATCGAAATACGTCTCTAGGGCTTTTGACAGCTCATTCGCCAATATTCGCTTCGGCAGAGTGTACCCACCCACCCACTCCACGCACGCACCATCACGACATGTCGGCGGATCTGTTTGCAGACTGGAAGAAGGAAGAAGCGTCGGTCCCTGACGTCCGAAGCGGCGCTGGGGGCTCTGGAGGAGGCGCCTACGACGGCGCTCTGTACGCGGCTGGTGCTGTGACGAGTGACGGGAATCCTGCTGGCGGCCGCAGCAGCAGCAACAACAATGATGACTTTGACTTTGAGACGGTCGGTGACGACGACGCGTCGAGGCTCACGAAGCCGGAGAAGCCCCTGTTTGAACTTCGGGAGCACGGTCTCAAGATCTCCCGTCGCAAGGGGTTCACGCTGAGCTGCATGGGCGTGGGCAATGGCGTACTGGCCATGGGTTCTCAAGAGGGCGTCCTTCTCCGCTGTACGACGGAAGCCACCGACAGCAACGGGACGATCGAGGAAATCATGATTGAGCCACGTGTAGCCATGTCTAGTGTGTTCATTGATCCCACAGGAGCCCACGTGCTCGTGTCGATGGAAAATGGCTCCAACTTTTACTTGCACACGGGATCGACGCGTCCAAAGAAGCTTCTCAAGACCCAAGGAATGCAGTTTACGAGCGTAGCGTGGGACCGCCAGTCTGGATCGCCAGAAGCGTCGGAGCCTATACTGATTGGAGCTACCTCGGGTGCAGTGTTTGAAGCAGCGTTTGATGGAGGCAAGGAAAAAGCGGTGACCAAAGTGTTTCAGATTGCCAACCAGGGAGCAATTGCTGGCATCGCTTTCGAGCACTGGCATCTGCCATCAGGAGAGAAGCGACACTATGTCATGCTCACGACGTCGGCATCAGGAAAGAGACCGACGCGTGTGTTATGAGTGGAGGTTGAGGTGGCTTTGAAGCCATGTTCCAAGAGTACACGAGTCCGGATAAGCTACGTTTCCAGGAAATGCCGGGGGACATGACGACAGCAGAATTGCGGTTTTATGTCAAACAAAGCCGTGAACGCGCAAAAGGCTTTGGCGTACTAACGGGTGAGGGAGTGTACCATGGAGATTTCGTGTTCGGGCTGTCGAGCACGATGGAAAACGTGACGACAGGCACAGGATTGCTAGCGTACCCTAGTAAACCGGAGAAGCCTTCGGACGGTCGTGGATCATGGACACCACCAATTTCAATGGCAGTGACACAGTACCACGTAGTTCTCTTGTTCGCACGTCATGTTCAGGTAGTGTCGAAGCTGAGTGGCGTGGTTGTGATGGAAGAATCGTTCGACGCGCGAGTAGGCAATGTGAACGGCATTGTTGTGGATGACACGTTTAACACAGTGTGGATCCACTCAAGCCGTCGTATCTTGGAGGTAGTTATTGTTGACGAGGACCGCGATGTATGGAAGCTATTCTTGAGCAAGGCTGTGATGGGTAACGGTGACGATCGCGATTTTGAACAGGCGTTGGGTGTTTGTCGCAACGGATGGGAACGTCAGCGCGTGCTGACAGCACAAGCAGACAAGCTCTTCGATAAGGGGAAGTTTGATCGTGCTGCTGTTATGTACGCGAAGACAACGCGTTCGTTTGAAGAGGTGGCGCTGAAGTTTCTCGAAATCGAGAGTCGTGACTCGTTGCTGTTATTCCTGCTGCAGAAGCTGATAGGCTTGGGAAGTGACGAGAAGACACAGCAGACTGTCTTGTGCTCATGGATCGTTGAACTGTTTCTCGATAAGTTCAATGTGCTGAAGGGGAGTGTGCAAGATGTTGATGCGCATGCAAACTTGCTGTTCGAGTTCAAGCAATTCCTGCAAGATCAGAAGAGTCATCTCGATCCGGCCACGACTTTCAATTTAATCCTTAGCCACGGCCGACCGGATGAGCTTGTGTTTTACGCAACTCTTATTGAAGATTACGAAAAAGTTATTACTTACCATGTGGATCGTGGTGAGTATGGAGCTGCAATTGAGTTGCTTCGCAGTGTGGAAACATCCAAGGTGGAAGAGCTCTGGTACAAGTATTCTCCTGAACTGATCATCCACAAGCCGAAGCAGGTGTACGAAGCATGGCTAGAGGCTGCCACATTGAACCCAACCCGTCTCATTCCGTCGATTGTACGTCATGTGCACCAGAAGAGCGATGCGGGCGCGGAATCGGCCAGCACTACAACAAAAAGTCGCTCCGTCTTGGATATGGCCATTCGGTTTTTGAAATTTGCTATCAAGCAAGGTAATCGCGATCCAACAATCCATAATTACATGTTGTTTCTGTTGGCCAAGCACCCTGATGAGCGTTTACTCATCAGCTTTTTGCGCAAGAAACACAATGGTAGGCACCTGTTTGACATTGCATTTGCGCTACGGCTTTGCACACAGAATGAGAAGAATCGCGCCTGTATTTACATCTACTCGGCGATGGGGCTATATCAGGACGCCGTGGAGAAGGCACTCCAAGTAGATGTCAAGATTGCTAAAGAAATGGCAGGCATGCCTGAGGATGATGAGACTCGCAAAAAGTTGTGGACGCTGATTGCCAAGCATACGATTGATGCAGGTGGTGAGATCAAGGATGCCATGAATATCCTAAAGGAGAGTGATCTATTGAAGATTGAGGACATCCTTCCTTTCTTCCCTGACTTTGTCCTGATTAACGACTTTAAGAAGGAGATTTGCGAATCGCTTGAGGTCTACAATGACCGTATTGAACAGCTGAAGGAAGAGATGCAGGACTATACACAGTCGGCCGAGCTGATCCGTGCTGACATGCAGAAGCTGCGCAAACGTTGTGCTGTCGTTTCTGGCAACCAGCGCTGTGAGCTTACGGGCCAAAATATTTTGGGTAAGGAATTCTACCTCTTTCCGTGCTCCCACGCTTTTCATGCTGGCGCACTCCCTCAAGAGATGCAAAAGCATCTGAATAGCTTTTAGCGACAAACGGTAAAGCAGCTTATCCAGAAACTGAATGAGCTTTCCACGGAAATGCCCGCAACCACGAAATTTTTCCAGCGACCGCTGTCAGCCTTCCCTTTTCTCAACTTGTCGTCGAGCGAGAAGGAAGCGATGACGCCCGGTTCCGAGGGAAGCAGCGCCGCGACAACCGCAAAGGCAAAAAGTGGTGCGAAAGAGCAGTCCATTGCTCAGGAGCGTGAGATGGTGCAGCAAAAGCTAGACGAGATCATTGCATCCGAGTGTATTTTCTGTGGTGAGGTTATGATCAAATCCATTCACACGCCTTTCATCACGCCGGAAGACGAGGCGAACGAAGGCAGCGAGTGGGCCATTTGATGGCAGCATGGCGATTGACCTGCTTTTGAGAGGACGGGTAGCGCAGGATCAAGAGTAAGGTCCACGAGGCAACACGCAGACACACGTGCGAGCATTTGAGATGTGAAAATGAGATGGAATTTGAGCGAGCTTACCTGTCAGCATCTAGTGTTTTTGCTGCCATATAATATCTGGCGCTGGGTTGTGATGCTTTGCGCTTGTGGCAAGCTGGATGAATCGAAGGACGATGCCGATCCAGCCCGGGTTCGAACTCTACCCGAGACTACTTCTCGAAGCGGCATACAACGTGGGTGTGGCTGATGAAGTTGGTAAGTTGGCGTCGGTCTTATATGTTGTGACCGAATTGATGCGTGTCGGTGTATTCCAGGCAAACCACACCATCGGTACGAGATTATATTCAGTGATGTTCGCAGGCGAATGAGCTAGTAAGATCCAGTCAAGATCCGTCGTTGAACGGTCCCTGGACAGTCATGCCGTTGTCGTAACGTGCTTGGTCACTGATTCTACTGCTGACGCACAGCAGCAGTTCGTGACATATTACCTGCGCTCGGGCTTATCGGCTTCACAAATCAGGTAAGTTTAACGTTGCTATTGTTTGCGCTGACGGCTTGAGACAAGAGGGCTTCACTTTAGGTCACGAACCCGTTATCCATCGGACAAGTTGTGAAGAAGTTAATCACGATTAGAATGCAACGCAAGGTGTGATCGCTGTGGAAACTGATCAGGAAGAGCTGCACGCTTATGGATGGCTGCACGACCTGGGGCAACAGTCTTTGCTACCTTGACAAGCGTGATGCGGACTATGCGATCGCGAGCATTGCAGCACATTTGAACGGTACGGAGGCAAAGTGGCATGCTCGATTCGGTCTCGACGACTTCAAGGGTGTCGCGCTTGTTGAGGATCATGGTCTTGCAGACGATGTGCACGATTTCGACAAGAAGCGAGGAGCTTGTGCGACTTGTCGTGGAGCAAAGCGACGAACGAGTCACGAGTCAATGCTGGATAAGCACCGATTGAAAGCACTGACGCTGTACAACTGGTGTTGAGATCAAGATTGGCACGGAGCCTCAGCCTATCAGCTGAATTTATTGCAAGGAGTCGAGGGCAGATGCTGCACCACTATTCTTGAACAACCTCGTTAGTAGACGAACTCATCGCTTTCTCGCGGTCTTCACTGGCGTCCATCGGGTAATTAAAACACTGACAAGTTTACAGATATGGCATGCTTAACCGCCGATGCTGAATTCACCGTCGAACACAAAAACCCGTTAACGAAACTCTAGTGGCGTATCGCACACAGTCGATAATGTACGACACATCAGTCATGGTCCAGGCTACCAAACGTCAGGCAGTTGTAGAAAGAGAGCTGTACAAAAGAGACAAGGCCTGTAACGGGGCACCGACGACAACGTACTGGTCAACCAGCACGAAGTTATTTTCCACTGACAACAGTGAAGGCCAGTGCCATGCTAGGTGTAGACACTAGGCAGAGGGAGGTTACGGTTTTACTTTTACCACGACTAGAGGTGAAACTCTAGTCGTTGTAAGAGCAAAACTGTTTTTTACAATACTTAATTCTATTACGCTAGTTTCTCTTTTCCCAAATTGTCACGGCATAGCTCATGCCAATTTTTTTTTTCCTTCGGAGCGGCCACTTCGGATGTAACGGGGTAGCCCGTTACATGATATTGACACCAAACGGTGTCACTAGGGATATTGTCTAGCATGACCATACTCTACCAACGTTATCCGGGATGGATAATATCGAAGGAGTATTATCCCCTTTGTAGGATAATATTCATGCGCTGCTCCAAGATTGATTGGTAAAGACGTATCAACCGGACCTTATTACCAATCACTGCTGGACACGCGTAATGAGTGGTGAGCAGTTTGTCGTCATACGACGACGTAGTTTAATTTAGTCAGATAAAGATCAAAGTTATATTGATAGCTTAACTATATTAAATACAGTTCTCTTTTTACCCTTTACTCGACATAGTTGTTTGAGTAGATTAGCTTCCTCTGCACGTACTAGTGTACGTGAAGTTTCGCGGCACCCCAAACAAAGGGTTCCCTGTTACATCTTGTCTACATACCCTTAACTTAAATATTCATACAGCGTTTATTTGACGTTTCGACGACACACGCGTCTGGTGCCACAGCACATTCATTCAACGTTTGATTTCTACGTGTTTCCCGGAGATACAGAGTTTTTGTAACGGGGCACCCTGAAGCTTGTACTGGTGACAGTACAAGCTACTTATTCTGATGACAGAATAAGGCGGTGCCTCGTTACTTCACTTACACTCGTACGTGCAGAGGAAGACGGTAAGAAGAAGCGAGTACTTGGTTAAAGTAAAAAGTAGAACTGTATTTATAATAGTTAATGTCTGCAATAAATCACTATTGATCTTCATCTAACTATGTCTAAATACAAATGTGTAAATGAAATATCTGCTCACCTCTCATTGCGTGCGTCTGTCGTGGCGCGTCTTCGTTGGTTGATATAATGGCCTGTATCAACCAATTAGGAACTACTCGTAAGTGCTACAGAATATTTGTCCTTATGACAATATTCTGAGAATATAACTCTTATAGTTATATTCTATTAACAATTTCTTACAAATTGTTATGTAACGATTCACCCCGTTACATCACCCCCCCTTAACCATCAGTCACTTTAGTGACTGATTGACTAAATGGATACTCGTCCCAAATCATTTGGGACGGGGTTTGCACTTGTTGGTCCGAGTCCACTTTCCTACATTTCACCGCATAGTTCACAAGCCCATGCGATGCGCGAGCAAGGCCGCCGAGAGCGCGTCCGCACGTCTCTGTGCGGACGCCGAAGCAGAAACCACAGCAACTGATGTGTCATCGGTTGCTGAAGCGACTCAGCCTGTGTCACTTGGTGATGTAGGCGCTGGTCATGAAGACACTCATGTCTTCACAGAGTACGAGCTCGGTGTCTCGTACTCTCCTGATACGGATGACGGATCCGTATCGACGGCAATTGAATCCGAGCCGCCTGCCAAGCGTGGCATGGACGATGCTTTGCGTCGCAGCATCTTTGGTTCATCTGATGAGTCAGATGAACCATCGCCGAAGCGAAGGCGCTCGAGGTCGCGAGACTCGGGCGCTAACAGTGGTGTCGGTTCTCCTATGGACACCACTTCGCAACGAGGTGCCAGTACTTCTGTCGGCACATCGCAGAAAGAGCGGGACCGCAGTGTGTTGCGTCTCGCTCCTGAGAAGAAGGCATGGATGCCTCCTAAATCCGTCATGGATCACTTGTCGGCGACGACGAGTGATCGTTATCGAACACGATTGTTCGATTCGTCAAGGATCCATCACCTTGACCCCAGCGCGAAGAACTATCGCGCTGAGAATGAGTTCTTCATCGATGCTTTCTTCAGACATCGATGATCCCTCACTGCTTCAGGCGTGGAACGGCTACATCCATAATCTTGAGGATGTAGGTCATGACGCTCGGAACGACAAACTTATCAAAGCTCGTGATAAGTTTGAAAAGCGAACCCCGACAGGTGCACGCTACAAGCTGCATCGTCTGTCAAGGGAGAAAGGATTACCCTGCCTCTCATGGGGAGACTCATGCCCATGTTGTGTGAACAACTCTGCACGAGCACCTAAGGAGGCTTACCTCCTTACCAGCCCGTGGTGGCGCGTACGTGTCTCTACTGAGATGTACGAAGGGATTGACAACCTGAAATCCCTTTACGACCGTGCCGGGAAGACTTTCTCCGGCGGTCCTTCTGCGGCACAGGATGTGCCGCGTCGTACTGCTCGACCTGAACCAGTACGTCAACCATCAGTTGGGAGCGGGGCTCCCAAGAATCCCAGGACGGGGGATAGCCGCGCCACCGGACGAGATAACTCGTCCGACGTCCGTTCACGTCGCGGTGGTTCAACAGCTGCTCAACTAGATAGCGCTGGCCACCGCGAGAGTCCTCTAATGGAGGTGGAGGAGGAGGAAAGACGCTCTCCACACGATCATGTGGATCGGTGTGTTCCCGAGAGCTTCTTTGATCGCGTAACGCAAGGGTTACGCGACGATCTCGAACATGAGCGGGACAGGAGTCTCCAACTGGCGGACGCTGTCTTGAAGCATCGAGCTGAGTTTGCCTTTGCTCAGCTTGAGAACGAGAGAGCTTTGACATCTCTTCGTGACGAGCTAAGGGTAGCTCGTGGGATTGTTGATCGGTCTCGGGATGAGATAGCTGCTCTTCAGACCCTTGTTGATGCCCACCATCTGGAGCACAAGGCTCTCTGCAAGATGCTTGAGCGCAAGGGCGTTCTTCATAGGAAGAAGCAGCGTACTGATGGTACGGCTTAAGCCGACCAACATAAAACGTGGGATGCGTTCGCATCTTACGTGGTAACTCGATCGTGCATGCATTGCCTAGACGGTGCAATACACGAAATGGGCCGATGCACTTGGGTAGTAGTTTACTGCTACCCAAGTTAGTCACTACATGCTTTGGTAGATTAACCGTAGACAGTAGGACTAAGTAACCTTTATTAGTCACCTTTATTAAATAAAAGAGTGTTTGCCCTTCCATTCTTGTCAGCGTTTTGCTTTTGCTTATCCACCGCTTCGGCGATGGAGTCTTGCACAAAACGGACTACCGTTTCACGAGCCAGTATAAACTCATCTGATGACTCGTTAGCTTCAGTGCGCTGTGAGCGCACTGCAGCAACATCAACCTTTTCTTCAGTGAGGGTTTCCGCACTCTCACTGGCATCATCTTCTTCGATATCGATGTTATCGATATCGGCATCAAACGCAATGACTTCTTCGTCAGAGCGTGATGAGCGTGAACCAAATCGGTTTTTGCTCGCGCGAGTCCCTCCCCCCCTTAAACCAGAGTTACACTCTAGTAAGGTGGGTACACGCGGATGGCGCAAGCCATTCACGTAAAACGGTGTATGTGTCGTGGACGCATGCACCGAGTTGTTAATGGCAAACTATACCATTGGCAAAAACTCACTCCAACTCTTAAAGGAGTGTACGTATCCTCGAAGTATCTCTTCAAGGACACGATTGGCACGTTCCGTCTGACCATCTGACTATGGATGATCAGACGTCGACACTTCAAGCGCGTTCCGAGTGATTTGAACTCGGAACGCCAGAAATCAGCAGTGAATCGTGGATCTCTGTCTGATACGAGTTCACAGGGCAACCCATGAAATAGGAAGATGGTGTCAATAAAGACACAAGCACAGCCACTTGCCGTGATTGACTCTGGTACAGCCACAAGGTGTACCATTTTGCTGAATCTGTCAACAAATACGAGAATACCCGTATTCCCGCGTGCGTCTTTGGGTAACCCGAAGACGAAATCCATTGAGATGGATTCCCAGCACTCAGCCGGAACCGGTAGAGGCTGTAAAGGTGCACGCAGTGAAGGACTTGACTTCACTCGTTGGCAGACTTCGCATGCGCGAACATACTTTCGGACAAACTGATACTGGCGGGGCCAGTAAAAGTCTCGACTCACCGTGAGATATGTTTTCTCCCGGCCACGATGTCCTCGTATAGGAGCATCGTGATGCTCGAACATGATCCCCAAACGCAGATCAGTATCATCTGGAATGACAACACGTGGTGTGTCACCAGAAACGGCTGTATAATACAGTAAACCGTTACGAGTAGTGTATCGATCTGCATCAGATCGATACGCAGGCGACAATCGTTTCAACGATTCTCGAGACGGTAGTGAGAAATGTGTCAACAACTTCACAATCTCACCATCTTGGGCGTATGCCCGCCTCACATCATCATACAACGTTGTAGATGGGACTGAGGACATCATAATCGCAACAGTGGCTGTCTCACTGTTAGGTTTCACGACTGTTTCAAAGTCGGGACGACGTGAGAGTGCATAAGCGACGACATTAAGTCGTCCTGGTTTGTACTCGACCGTAAAGTTGTATTCTGCAAAGAATGACAACCACCGCGACATTCGTTGTGAAAGGTGCGGGCTGTTCACTGCCGTGCGTAATGACGCATGGTCAGTGTAAACAGTGAAGGGTCTATCTCCTAAGAGATAGACTCTGAACTTCGCGAGTGCATACTTCATGGCAAGGAGATCCTTGTCATGCACTGGATATTTCCTCTCAGCTGGTTGCAGCTGACGCGACTGATAGCAGACGACGCGTTCAACGCCTTCAAGATCGTACTGCATTAATGCACAGCCGATTGCGAAATGCTGGCATCACAGACAACATGAAATGGCCTGTCCTGATCGGCTATTGCTAGGACTGGGGATTGTATCAAGCTCTGCTTGATACCCTCAAAGTAGCGCTGACATTCAGCGTTCCATAACCACCTCTCGATCTTTTTCAACAACCGAGAGAGGTGCACAGTCATCTCGGCGTAATTGCGTGAATACTTGTGCAAATACGCCGCTAGCCCAAGGAATTTTCGAAGACCTTTGACATCAACCGGCACAGGCCAGTCGGTGATCGCCTTGATCTTTTCGGGATCAGGACGTACACCGTTCTTACCAACGATGCACCCAAGAAGTGGTATTTCGCTTGCTGCAAATATACACTTCTTGAGGTTTGCATACAATTGATGCTTTCGCATGATTGTAAGAACCTGTCGGACGTGGTACCTGTGAACCTCAACGTCCGACTTTCCATCCATAGCTCGACTATGGATGAATACGTCATCGAAATAACTCGACGCGAATTCTCGTACTGGCCTCAACAGATGTGATACACATCTGTTGAACGTGGCAGGGGCATTACTAAGTCCTTGTGGCATTACTAGCCATTCCCAGAGCATGCCGCTAGGCGTGCTAACTGCGGTATAGGGTATATCCCGTTCCCGCATTAGGATTTGATAGAAGCCATCCATCAAATCCATGGACGAAAAGATGGTACTCTTTGACATACCATCAATGATTACGTCCTTCCTCGGTATCGGCGTCTGAGCCGGTAACGTTGCAGCGTTCAATTTGTTAAACGCGTGCACTATCCGCCACCCTCCTGTTGCTTTTCGCACACAGAAGGTCGGAGAGCTATGTGGGGAAGTTGATTCCCTCACATGGCCCGCTGCTAAACGATCGGCAAAGAACTTGTCGATCGCAAGTACTTGTTCACGAGGCAGTGGCCATTGCTTCATGACACAGTACTTCGAGCCTGGTTTAAGCTCGACTTCGTGTCGAATACCTTTATCCTTCGGTAATTCGCACGGAACAGTTTCAGGGAATACATCCTTGAATTCAACCAAATCTTCATAGAGAGGATTTTCCTTGAGCGATTCCCACGATTGGGACTCATATCGCTCAATTCGTGTCTTTTTCATCTAGGACACTCTCGTCCATAGATGAACTACTGAGAACTCTCTCGTTCTCAGTAAACACTGTTGCTGACCTTATGTCGGTTACATACTCGTCGTCAGCGACGAGTATGCAGATCTGCTTGACTTTGCCACTACGCAGATCACGCAAGAACCTTTTATGTTCGAGCGTTGGCAACTGAGTGATCTCCGAAGTTAACTTCGGAGGCGCAATCAGATCAAGTGTATAAGCGCCTACACATGATCCGTTATTGACTATGACATTCAATGTCTCTGTCATTTCCTGGGGACTTATTCCCTCAGGCTTCGAAGGACTTATTCCTTCGTCTTCCCGGGGACTTATTCCCGCGGGTTTCGGGGAACTTATTTCCGCCGTATTTGTAATCTTGGGACTTATTCCCTTTACTTCCTCTAGCTGTGGTTGCGCAACCACAGCGAGATCCTCTACGAAAGACTCTCCAGTCGATCTAGGATTATCGTTTCGCTTAACCTGAGCGATCGATTGTTTCTCTTCTAGATGTTCCTCGCTAGGGATACATCTTTGTCCCGGTCCACTCGACTTATTCGAGTGGTGGACCTTCGGCGCAGCCTGTGTTTCCTTACAGCCGCCGGAACTTTGCTCCGAAGTGTAACCGTTTGGTACACTAAGGTTTTGTGCAGTCGTACTAACGACCGTACCACAAGTGAGGCCATCGCACTCACTCGTAGTACATCCACACGCCTGTGGACGCTCCAAAACGTTCATCAGATGGCCATCTGATGAACAAGCGGCAGGCATCGTTACTGTCCGATGTTGCCAGTTTACCCGTGGTTCGTACCTTCTGAGCCACGGTATTCCAAGGATGACATCAAATTTGTCATCCAAATCCAATACGATAAAGTCATCGTCATATTGGGTATCTTCTAGCGTACAGTGGATCTTCACTATACGCTTCATGACGGTTACGGATGCGCCTGTCGCAAGACGTACCGTCATCCTCGTAGGAGGTGTATCACATTCACTGAAATTAAAGTGACCATCTTCTAGCGATTGGCGTCGCACAAAATTGTTGGACGCCCCACAATCGACTAGAGCTCGAAGGGACAACTTTTTCGTCACTTCGAGTTTCAAGGTAATGAGTGAGATCTCATTACCTAGAGCAGCAACGCACAACGTTTGTGTGTTGGGAGCAACCTTCATCAAGAGGCCCACCAATTCTCTTGACGTTGCTGGACCAGTAGGGTGCTCCGCACCTACTGATCCTGTCCGTTTTTTGACGGTCCATCCCGTTGTTGCAACTTTGCACCAATAGCGGACCCGCGTCCCTGCCCCTTTCTCATGGGTGGACGGTCACTACGCCCAGTGTCGCGAGACACTGGACGAGGGGCACTACACTCGTAAGCGTAGTGTCCTGTCTTTTGACATCTGTTGCATCTCTGCAACTTCTTGTAGCCTGTAGAGCGAGCCTTCTCGCTCTCTACATAACAGAGTTCCATCGGCTCTGGACCTCCGTTGTCATATCGTCTCGGTTGACGATATGATGTCGAGCTGGCGCGAGCCTGTCTCAGACTGAAGTCTTCCTGCTCCGCAATGGAAATGGCTTGTTCTAGTGAATCTAGTTCAAGCCGGAACAGGTGAGTCTTGACGGGACCATCCGCAAGACCCTGCATGAACACCGAAACCAACGTGTGTTCATCCACCGGATTGGAACTTATACAACTCGTGAGATGTCGTATATGTTGAGCGTAAGCGTGCACATCACGCTTACCCTGCTTGAGCTTCAAGAGTTCGGTTCGAGCTCTGAACTCAGCTCTAGGCGGTTCAAACGTTTGTCTGAGCCGCGACTTGAAGACTTCCAACGACCCAAACGCATATGGGTCGTGCAGCTTGAGCCCCAGTGCCCAAGTCTTGGCACGTCCTGCCAGATTTGACTGGGCAAATGCAACTTGCATATCCCCGTCGTCGATGCGACGCGCCCTTATGGCGTCATCCACTTCGACGAACCATCTCAAGAGGGAGTCTTCTTCGACCCCCTATACTTGGAGATGTCAATCTTCAAAGTCTCGGGCCGACGCGAGTGCATCGACCCACCAGCAGCAGCCTGCTGCTGTCTCAACAGTTCAAACTGTTGAGCACCTTGTTCTCTCAACAACTCTGCTTGTTGAGAACCTTGTTGGTGAAGCAAGGCTACTTTCTCGCGTTCTGCGTCAAGTTCATTTTGAATGAACTTGGCGATAGTAGCATGTTGAGCATCTCTCTTGAGAGCCTCTAGCATGACGCTAACAGCATGGATGCCCATGGTTGAACCCATCCGTTCAACCGCATCCCATTCGACATCGCTCAAATGGGAGTAGCCGTCACGCGTAGCGTGAAAGCTTTGGTCATCTTCATCATCCAACATATTCATGTTAGATGTGAACGTGGTCCTTGGACGGACTACGAAGTGCTACCAGGTGTAACGGGGCACCCTGAAGCTTGTACTGGTGACAGTACAAGCTACTTATTCTGATGACAGAATAAGGCGGTGCCTCGTAACTTCACGTACACTCGTACGTGCAGAGGAAGACGGTAAGAAGAAGCGAGTACTTGGTTAAAGTAAAAAGTAGAACTGTATTTATAATAGTTAATGTCTGCAATAAATCACTATTTATCTTCATCTAACTATGTCTAAATACAAATGTGTAAATGAAATGTCTGCTCACCTCTCATTGCGTGCGTCTGTCGTGGCGCGTCTTCGTTGGTTGATATAATGGCCTGTATCAACCAATTAGGAACTACTCGTAAGTGCTACAGAATATTTGTCCTTATGACAATATTCTGAGAATATAACTCTTATAGTTATATTCTATTAACAATTTCTTATAAATTGTTATGTAACGATTCACCCCGTTACAGTTTTGCATTAGCACAAAAGTCGAATCCATGGAAGCTATGTATTGTCATCGGGTATTGTCAACTACGCGGATGTATCCTCTTGCATCTCAGTACCTACGCGTGAAACCGAGCAGGAATCAGTTCTACGGTTAATTCATGAGATCATTTTCGATTCCGTTTAACACGAAATCCTCGATCTTTCTGTCCGCCGCTTGTGCCTCGATCAACAGCTCTTCGAAACTAAATTCGTCAGTCTTCAAAAGATCCAGAATGTTGGTGGTATATTGTTCCGGTGCAGAATATTTCTGAGAGAAGGCCGAAATGTACCTCTTCAAGGGATCCTTCACTATGTACAGCCATGGACGTACATTTATAATCTGTGCCAATTGAATGTTGACAACATCACTGATTCTCAATCCCCTTTTCAGCCACATTTCAAACAGCTCCTCCTCCATTTGCTGCGCTTCACGACCGTAGAAACAGCTGAGCCGTGCCAGCGACAACATACCTGCGACGTTAGCTTCGCCTCTGAAGCCTGCGATAAATGCGTCGAGCAATGTCCAGGACGTATGGTGTTGCTTATTGTATACACCGATGTATCCCATCAGTGCCCCGAGTTTTGGTGATGCGAAAGGGTTCCCCATACGATTTCTTGAAATCCATGTAGACTCACCCCCAATGTCTAGTTTCTTGAAAATCTCACCGGGAGTATTCTCTTTCGATTGCACCCTCCCCATTAGATCGTGCGCCAATCGGGGGGTTATCTCTGTCCACTGACGCTCGGAAAGGGATTCTCGGACAGCGGAAATGATCGTGTCCCTTCCATCCACTGAGCTCTCCACAAGGTCAATACTCCCTCGTGCGAGCCGAGCCATTTTACGTTGTCGGAGCTCCTTTTCGTGGAGTTGCTCGGATTGCGATGCAGCCAAGCGAGTCTCGAGATATGCCATGATCGCATAATATTCGAATGACCTCACTTTTTCTTTATACCTGATGAGAAGCCCGTCCGTGTTTTGACCGTACGAGTGTAGTGAAGTCACCAGTCTACCAACTGCATTCGCTACCTTTTTCCCCGTCGATGTAGGAATGGGAGGGCTCGCTCGCTCTTCACCTAGCGTGGATTTGAGATCCCCCAGCAGCCGCTTGGCATGCACGCTATCGTAAGGACCATCAGAAAAACGGACACTGGCCGAGAGGTTGAACGCCGTCAGCAAAGGGCGGGTATTTTGGTAGAGTTCGTGCTGCGTACGATTACGGATGTCGATGTCATGAGCGCGAAAGTGGTGAGACGCATCTTTAGTTGCTGTCGTGGTCTTTCACGAGGGTGTGGGATCAAATTTCGAAGTGACCAAGAAGCTTCACTCGCACAGCTATCCGACGACATCTGAAAGAGCCTTGACCGTAAGCTCTCCAATCCTTTTGTCGACTCTTGCATACTTCTTTCGAATGGCTTTCAGCGCGACTTTCCTCCTGATTCTGGTTAGAGCCAGCACAGTCGAAACAGGGCAAGGGACCTCATTGAAGGCCGACGAACAGGAAGCGCGCAGGACCCGATTCAGCTCGTGACTCTGCACCTAGGCGACCGTGGATTGCACTGATTTGGAACGGATCAGCACCTGAGCTCACGTCTGTTCTCACAGAAAACGGCGAACGATAGGTCACAATCTTTAGAAATATGGTCTCGTCTTCGTGGCGCATCCTCTGATTCACAGCTTCCTATTGCTAGGCTAGGCCGTAACCTCACGTCGCTCCTTTGCAAAGCACTCAGGAAAGCACGCCTTCCGATATAACAAAAAGTTTTCACCCGACCACTCATGACTTTCTCAAATCAGCTTGACGGAAACGCTAGAGCCGATGTACGGCAAAGCGCTGCGCCCAGACAACCACGAGGCGACCATCGTGACAGCCTCACATCCTGTCAAACCCGGAGAAGGTATCGGGTCACAACTCGGCAAAAACATGGATTGCACATGCCAGCTCGGGGCGATTGCGTAAAGAGAGCATCGAACAATAGAATCGACAATCGAGGACGTCATGCTTTATGCATGCATCGAGTGCGTTTGGAGCGCGAAGGATCTAGAGGGTTACCGTTTCTACTGTAGCCAGTCACGATCAGCCCCAGGGTGACCCGGCGTTAACTCACGTTAGTCCAGAGACCTCGCACATAGCTGAGATCATGCATCAAAACAATCGGAACCTCTCAAATCAGGTAACTGATTCTTGTCGATGTGGCGTCACCTAAGGCGGCTCACCCTCGATCCTTGCGATTGTAACGTGGCCATGCTCTGATGCAAAAATCAAGCACGCCTGCAGGTTACGTGAACCTTCTGATCGAAAGTCTGTGACCACGCGAGACATGCGAGGTCTCGATGGTGTGGCGAGGTCTACCGAAGGAGACAGGCGGCGTGCGTGCGTGTTCAGCTCAGCTTACACCTGTTGACGACGCCGTTTAGACATTGAGAGAGGGTCGAAGAAGGGACAGCTTGCGGCCTGCGGATCCAAGCGGATTAGTACCAAGCTTTTTTGCATCGGGTGTTGATACGTACAAGGGCAAACTTTGCAGCGCGGGACACAAGTGATGGTCAAAATCAGCACACATTGAACTGCAAAATGAATGACCTTTCCACTCAAAACTCGTGCAAGACTCGACAAGCGCGTGCTTTCGCTCACCCGTCTACAGTCTCGGTGCCAAGAGACCCGCGTCGCGTGCACTCTTTCAGCGTTTTCGTCTTAGCGATGGAAGCAAACCTATCGCTTGGATCTAACACAGCTGTAATCGTCGTTGTACGGATTGATCAATTTCTCATTGCTTTGTTCCCTCAATTTCGGCGTGCCGACTGAGATGCGATGAACAACTGAATGACCTGCATGAATCTGATATGCATACGTTACGACTGAATGATCTACCTCGATTGGCCGTCGCTCTCTAGTCTCAGCAGCGGACTTCCATGTCTATCAGTGGAAGACGCGCAACAACAAGTCACTGCGGGCTTCATTTCGAGCCGTGTACATTGATTCGAGCCGTATCCTGCCATACACGCTCTGCGTTTGCGTCCCTGATTTCCTCGCTCATGATATCAGTGAAGCAAATCTCGATTTCGTGCAATGGAATCTGTAGCATTTCCTCCTTCGGTTCATCGGTGTACGGCCGTAACCTTCGCGATTCGATAACTTGTTTACTACTGGCGAGGAGACAACTGCTCCTGGTCAGTATAACACCTACCTTGTTTACTGTTTCGGACACCCTTGTACCAAATCTTGCAAAACAATGTCGTGAATGACCTGATGATAAAAGACTACAACCATACGGCAACGATTCGTCGCGCTTGCAACCAGCTGGACCGCCGTCCGAACCCGCCGCTTTGCACTCTTGCAGAGAGGCCAGCTGACCAGAAGGAGATGCAATTATGGCCAGCGTCAGTAGATGCGACTGACATGGAGGTGCCGAACTCGACACAGAAGCACTGCAATTTATGGAGAATCGAGATACATTTTGTCGTTCTTGCATGTGTTGGTTCACCTTTTTGCGTCGTTTCGTTGGCTTAACTCGTATCGCCTGCGAGGGAATTAGTCGTCTCAGTTCTCAATCGCAAAGGTTGCTCGATTGTTGTCGAAGATGCGCTAGGAGTAGCTTTCTGCAGCAATGGTCCTTACGCTGACATACCTAGCTTCGATCCGAAAAGTCTATCCTCACCCACAAAGTGTGTCTCCGATCTGTAGCCTCGACAGGACTTTCTTTTGAGGGTACGTTGTACATATCTACAGCGGATTCCAGTCTGGTCACATCTACCACCAGGCTTTGATTTTCTGGCTGCTGTACTGTTTGTACACGTTAGTAGTCGTGACATGGATGCAGCAAAACCTTCCTACCAATTAATGTCGGTTGATGAGTCCACTCGACCCAAGTCACGTGCCTGATGATTGCAGCATGCGAGGTACGTTTGCATTCTGCAATAGCTGCACTTTCCTGCGCTGTCAGGTTCGTTTGGTTTGTTGCAGTGAGTTCGGAGAACGGACGTGCGTGTCACTGACAAATTGAGTCATCGACGCAGGAGATAAGGTAGAAAGACTCCTCGTGGCACTCACGCATCAGAGATCTGCGTACGCAGTGATGCATAAGCTAATGCATTTTCTGGATGACTGGCACGTACATGTTGACGTCCAGCGAGTCGAATCGCAGTTTCGTGGACAAATGAAAGTCATGGCATTCGCGTCTCTTCTTCTCTGCCTTGCTTCGGTATATCGCACGTAGACGGACTGTCTAACGAGAAAGACATTTGCAAGCAGGGGCGTTGCGCAGGCGTCGCGACGGATCTGATTGTGGCGACGTAGATAATCTAGTCAAGAGGATGTCTGCAAATCGACTAAAGGCTGCTGCAGCGGATTTTTGTGCACTCTGTCTGCACTGCACAGCACAGAGAACCACACGCGACTCTCAGCTGTCTGATGATTACTTACTACTACATCCAGGTATTTTGTGCCTACAGACAGCACAGTCTCGACACTCAGTAGTGCCTTTCTGATAACAAGGAAGACGTGCAGATCCCACTCAGCCTGGCAGGGCGAGGTTCCAAAGTCCGAAGTCGTCCTCGGGACATCCGTTTTGTCCAATCGAAATACGTCTCTAGGGCTTTTGACAGCTCATTCGCCAATATTCGCTTCGGCAGAGTGTACCCACCCACCCACTCCACGCACGCACCATCACGACATGTCGGCGGATCTGTTTGCAGACTGGAAGAAGGAAGAAGCGTCGGTCCCTGACGTCCGAAGCGGCGCTGGGGGCTCTGGAGGAGGCGCCTACGACGGCGCTCTGTACGCGGCTGGTGCTGTGACGAGTGACGGGAATCCTGCTGGCGGCCGCAGCAGCAGCAACAACAATGATGACTTTGACTTTGAGACGGTCGGTGACGACGACGCGTCGAGGCTCACGAAGCCGGAGAAGCCCCTGTTTGAACTTCGGGAGCACGGTCTTAAGATCTCCCGTCGCAAGGGGTTCACGCTGATCTGCATGGGCGTGGGCAATGGCGTACTGGCCATGGGTTCTCAAGAGGGCGTCCTTCTCCGCTGTACGACGGAAGCCACCGACAGCAACGGGACGATCGAGGAAATCATGATTGAGCCACGTGTAGCCATGTCTAGTGTGTTCATTGATCCCACAGGAGCCCACGTGCTCGTGTCGATGGAAAATGGCTCCAACTTTTACTTGCACACGGGATCGACGCGTCCAAAGAAGCTTCTCAAGACCCAAGGAATGCAGTTTACGAGCGTAGCGTGGGACCGCCAGTCTGGATCGCCAGAAGCGTCGGAGCCTATACTGATTGGAACTACCTCGGGTGCAGTGTTTGAAGCAGCGTTTGATGGAGGCAAGGAAAAAGCGGTGACCAAAGCGTTTCAGATTGCCAACTAGGGAGCAATTGCTGGCATCGCTTTCGAGCACTGGCATCTGCCATCAGGAGAGAAGCGACACTATGTCATGCTCACGACGTCGGCATCAGGAAAGAGACCGACGCGTGTGTTTCAGTTCATGAGCGGAGGTCGAGGTGGCTTTGAAGCCATGTTCCAAGAGTACACGAGTCCGGATAAGCTACGTTTCCAGGAAATGCCGGGGGACATGACGACAGCAGAATTGCGGTTTTATGTCAAACAAAGCCGTGAACGCGCAAAAGGCTTTGGCGTACTAACGGGTGAGGGAGTGTACCATGGAGATTTCGTGTTCGGACTGTCGAGCACGATGGAAAACGTGACGACAGGCACAGGATTGCTAGCGTACCCTAGTAAACCGGAGAAGTCTTCGGACGGTCGTGGATCATGGACACCACCAATTTCAATGGCAGTGACACAGTACCACGTAATTCTCTTGTTCGCACGTCATGTTCAGGTAGTGTCGAAGCTAAATGGCGTAGTTGTAATGGAGGAATCGTTTGACTCGCGAGTCGGGAATGTGCGCGGCATTGTTGTGGATGACACGTTCAACACAGTGTGGATCCACTCAAGCCGTCGTATCTTGGAGGTAGTTATTGCTGACGAGGACCGCGATGTATGGAAGCTATTCTTGAGCAAGGCTGTGATGGGTAACGGTGACGATCGCGATTTTGAACAGGCGTTGGGTGTTTGTCGCAACGGATGGGAACGTCAGCGCGTGCTGACAGCACAGGCAGACAAACTTTTTGATAAGGGAGAGTTTGATCGTGCCGCAGTTATCTACGCGAAGACAACGCGTTCGTTTGAAGAGGTGGCGCTGAAGTTTCTCGAAATCGAGAGTCGTGACTCGTTGCTGTTATTCCTGCTGCAGAAGCTGAAAAGCTTGGGAAGTGACGAGAAGACACAGCAGACTGTCTTATGTTCATGGATCGTTGAACTGTTTCTGGACAAGTTCAATGTGCTGAAGGGGAGTGTGCAAGATGTTGATGCGCATGCTAACTTGCTGTTCGAGTTCAAGCAATTCCTGCAAGATCAGAAGAGTCATCTCGATCCGGCCACGACTTTCAATTTAATCCTTAGCCACGGCCGACCTGATGAGCTTGTGTTTTACGCAACTCTTATTGAAGATTACGAAAAAGTTATTACTTACCATGTGGATCGTGGTGAGTATGGAGCTGCAATTGAGTTGCTTCGTAGCGTAGAAACGTCGAAAGTGGAAGAGTTGTGGTACAAGTATTCACCCGAGCTTATCATTCATAAGCCAAAGGAGGTATACGAAGCATGGCTAGAGGCTGCCACATTGAACCCAACCCGTCTCATTCCGTCGATTGTACGTCATGTGCACCAGAAGAGCGATGCGGGCGCGGAATCGGCCAGCACTACAACAAAAAGTCGCTCCGTTTTGGATATGGCCATTCGGTTCCTGAAGTTTGCCATCAAGCAGGGCAACCGCGATCCGACGATCCACAACTACCTGTTATTTCTGCTGGCCAAGCACCCTGACGAGCGCTTGCTCATTAGCTTCTTGCGCAAAAGGCACAATGGCAAGCATCTGTTTGACATTGCCTTTGCTCTGCGCTTTTGCACACAGAATGAGAAGAATCGCGCCTGTATTTACATCTACTCGGCGATGGGGCTATATCAGGACGCCGTGGAGAAGGCACTCCAAGTAGATGTCAAGATTGCTAAAGAAATGGCAGGCATGCCTGAGGATGATGAGACTCGCAAAAAGTTGTGGACGCTGATTGCCAAGCATACGATTGATGCAGGTGGTGAGATCAAGGATGCCATGAATATCCTAAAGGAGAGTGATCTATTGAAGATTGAGGACATCCTTCCTTTCTTCCCTGACTTTGTCCTGATTAACGACTTTAAGAAGGAGATTTGCGAATCGCTTGAGGTCTACAATGACCGTATTGAACAGCTGAAGGAAGAGATGCAGGACTATACACAGTCGGCCGAGCTGATCCGTGCTGACATGCAGAAGCTGCGCAAACGTTGTGCTGTCGTTTCTGGCAACCAGCGCTGTGAGCTTACGGGCCAAAATATTTTGGGTAAGGAATTCTACCTCTTTCCGTGCTCGCACGCTTTTCATGCTGGTGCACTCCCTCAAGAGATGCAAAAGCATCTGAATAGCTTTTAGCGACAAACGGTAAAGCAGCTTGTTCAGAAACTCAATGAGCTTTCCACTGAAATGCCGGCGAGCACGAACTTTTTCCAGCGACCGCTGTCAGCCTTCCCTTTTCTCAACTTGTCGTCGACCGAGAAGGAAGCGATGACGCCCGGTTCCGAGGGAAGCAGCGCCGCGACAACCGCAAAGGCAAAAAGTGGTGCGAAAGAGCAGTCCATTGCTCAGGAGCGTGAGATGGTGCAGCAAAAGCTAGACGAGATCATTGCATCCGAGTGTATTTTCTGTGGTGAGGTTATGATCAAATCCATTCACGCACCTTTCATTACGCCGGAGGATGACGCAAACGAAGGTAGCGAGTGGGCCATTTGATGGCAGCATGGCGATTGGCCTGCTTTTGAGAGGACGGGTAGCGCAGGATCAAGAGTGAGCTCCACGAGTCAACACGCAGACATACGTGCGAGCATTTGAGATGTGAAAATGAGATGGAATTTGAGCGAGCTTACCTGTCAGCATCTAGTGTTTTTGCTGCCATATAATATCTGGCGCTGGGTTGTGATGCTTTGCGCTTGTGGCAAGTTGGATGAATTGAAGGACGATGCCGATCCAGCCCGGGTTCGAACTCTACCTGAGACTACTTGTCGAAGCGGCATACAACGTGGGTGTGGCTTATGAAGTTGGTAAGTTGGCGTCGGTCTTATATGTTGTGACCGAATTGATGCGTTTCGGTGTATTCCAGGCAAACCGCACCGTCGGTACGAGATTATATTCAGTGATGTTCGCAGGCGAATGAGCTAGTAAGATCCAGTCAAGATCCGTCGTTGAACGGTCCCTGGACAGTCATGCCGTTGTCGTAACGTGCTTGGTCACTGTAGACTGCTGACGCACAGCAGCAGTTCGTGACATGTTACCTGCGCTCGAGTTTATCGGCTTCACAAATCAGGTAAGTTTAACGTTGCTATTGTTTGCGCTGACAGCTTGAGACAAGAGGGCTTCACTTTAGGTCACGAACCCGTTATCCATAGGGCAATTTGTGAAGAAGATAATCACGATTAGAATGCAACGCAAGGTGTGATCGCTGTGGAAACTGATCAGGAAGAGCTGCACGCTTATGGATGGCTGCACGACCTGGGGCAATAGTCTTTGCTACCTTGACAAGCGTGATGCGGACTATGCGATCGCGAGCATTGCAGCACATTTGAACGGTACGGAGGCGAAGTGGCATGCCCGACTCGGTCTCGACGACTTCAAGGGTGTCGCGCTTGTTGAGGATCATGGTCTTGCAGACGATGTACACGATTTCGACAAGAAGCGAGGAGCTTGTGCAACTTGTCGTGGAGCAAAGCGACGAACGAGTCACGAGTCAATGCTGGATAAGCACCGATTGAAAGCACTGACGCTGGACAATTGGTGTTGAGATCAAGATAGGCACGAAGCCTCAGCCTACCAGCTGAATTTATTGCAAGATTTGAGGGCAGATGCTGTACCAATATTCTTGAACAACCTTGTTAGTAGACGAACTCATCGCTTTCTCGCGGTCTTCACTGGCGTCCATCGGGTAATTGAAACACTGACAAGTTTACAGATATAGCTTGACCGCCGATGAAACACTGACAAGTTTACAGATATGGCTTAACCGCCGATGCTGAATACACTGTCGGACACAGAAACCCGCTTACGAAACTTCAGTGGCGTATCGCACACAGTCGATAATATACGACACATCAGTCATGGTCCAGGCTACCGAACGTCAGATAGTTGTAGAAAAAGAGCTGTACAAAAGAGACAAGGCCTGTAACGGGGCACCGACGACAGCGTACTGGTCAACCCGCACGGAGTTATTTCCCACTGACAACGGTAAAAGTCAGTGCCATGCTAGGTATAGACACAATGTTGAACTTCGAGTTGCAAGTTGGATGTTGAAGACGACAGTTGGTTGCATGAGCCAAGACGACCGTTGGAATATTGGGTAAACGGCGACGGGGCCAAACCGACAGTTGGAAGACGACAGGGCCTGTGTGACGATAGTGTCGATTGTTCTTGTTGTAGGAAGTAGATAGTGATGAACCAACAGGAGTAGCCAAGGTGCATCGTGTTTGTATAATCATAGTTCAGTTGTGAAACACACTCAAGGGCTCACATCTGCTTTCAGTTCCTTCCTTCAATCAATTTAACTGGGTTATGAGCCCAAAGTACACGGGAAATTCATCGAAGTAAAAGGTAAAGCACAAGTACACGAGCGAAGAAATTCCGATCGAGTGGGATGGGTGTGATTGGTAGTTTTACAAGCTAATCACGCGAAACGTCTTTGAGGAGGAGAAGATGAGTGATATGATAGATGAGCGGCACGATAAAACAAAGCTTATGACGGCAGAAGGCCAAGAAGCTTATGATTGATTCCAGCTCAGGGCAAAGCGCTACATCTTCACAAGTTTGTCATGTGACCAGTTGCATCAGGTGCGTGAACACAAGACAGCACCAGAACTGTGGAAACCCTTGGTGGCTATCTATGAAGACAAGTCGGACCCCATTGTTCGAGGACACCGTGTCCGGCAGCTAGGTCATGAGCTTTGGAACGCAAATCTGGAGGAAGATGGGAACGTGATCGCGCACCTGACGCGCATGTTTAACCACCGCACGGAATTAGCGGATCTCCAGTATATCGTCGATGAACTCGATATGCGAGAACCTTTGCTGGCAAGTCTACCTACAACGACGCATTTCAACCAACTACGACAGACTGTGCGGTTTGCAAGTGACTCAGCAGCATACAGTCCAGAGAAAATTCGCGTTATTCGCACAGCCGCCGCTCTTCATGAGGAGACAACAAGCGGTTTTGGTATTGGTGCCCTCATGTGCGGGAGGCGTAAAGACGTGGAGCGTCAGCGCGACAAAAAAGCCCGACAGATCATGGGCAGAAAAGGATCCAATGCAAATGTATATCGCTACAAAGGAACCTTCAAGGCGAAGGACTACAAGAAGAGGTGTTACACGTGCGGCAGTAGTGAGCACCTTAAGAGGGATTGTCCAGATCGTGAAAAACACGGCGAAGGTGCAAATATCGTCGCAGCAAAAGGTGTCGCTCGTCGTGAAGGCAAACGGAACATGGCAACGAACCTCACGCACTGTGATGTGCTTAAGGTATTTGGAGAAGATCAAGACGAAGGGACCCTGGAATTAAATCACGTGGAAGAAGCTCAACAAGACAATGACCCACTTGCCGATAATATTTGGATTCAGGAGTGGTATATTGACACTGCATCCAATGCACATGTGATAGGAGACAAGCGGTACTTTATTCGATATCGGGAGCACTCTCGCCATGAAGCAACCGTGCGTGGAGTTGCACCCAGATTTCAGGAACAACCAGTCGGAGTTGGAGCGATCTCACTTGAATCGTCTGTTGCTGGAAAGAAAGTACTTACGGTTATTGACGACGTACTACTCGTTCCTGGCGCAAGAAATATGCTGTTGTCGATGGGGCGTGCGCTTGACGATGGATTTAAATTTGAATGGGACTCCAATGCGCACCGATTACCTTACAGAAAAGTGGTGAAACGGTGGCACTAGCCGACAAAGTCGGAGCAGTATGAGTATTCGAGGGACAAGTTGCATTAGGTATACTGAACAAGCCACATCCAGAAACGCGCGTTATAAACTTACGGCTCGAGATGGTGTTGGAGATCTGCAATTATGGCACAAGCGTTTAGGCCACATATGCCCTCATTACATCAAGTTGATGGTAGACCGAAAGCTTGTTGACGGAATGATGCTATCCGGACATGACGCAAGAGATTGCGAGACGTGTCACTTGGCAAAGCAAGTACGGAAGACGTTATAAAAGCTTGACCGACGCATTGTGGATCCAAATGAGCTTGTATATACAACTATGAACAAGCCACATCCAGAAACGCGCGTTATAAACTTACGGCTCGAGATGGTGTTGGAGATCTGCAATTATGGCACAAGCGTTTAGGCCACATATGCCCTCATTACATCAAGTTGATGGTAGACCGAAAGCTTGTTGACGGAATGATGCTATCCGGACATGACGCAAGAGATTGCGAGACGTGTCACTTGGCAAAGCAAGTACGGAAGACGTTATAAAAAGCTGGACCGACGCATTGTGGATCCAAATGAGCTTGTATATACAACTATGTTGGTGCCAGGCGTAATTAGCGACACTCAGATAGGTGCAGTTTTGGTGATCATATAGGCTTACTGCAAATTCGTTGCAACTTACATGCTGCGAACAAAAGCAGCAAATGCAGTATCCGCAGCGCTGAAACAATACATTGCTTGGGTTGGTCGATAAGCTCGTCGCCATGCAACCGAAGAAAGTGACGGAGCGCAAATTGCAAATCCTGTTCGCCAGTTGCTGACGGATAAAGGTGGAGAATTTGATAGTACCGAGTTTACACTGTGGTTGAAAATTTGAGGCATCGAGCATGTACAGGTTTGACGTTCCAGCTCGCAGCAAAACCCCTGCGAACGTGTGCACAGAACGCTGGTGGAGATGACGCGTGCAATGTTGAAGCGTTCAGGAATGCCTCGGATTTTTTTTTTGGACCGATGCATTTCAATTCTCGATTTATATCAAGAACCGGAAATTTAATCGAGGATGTAAAAGCAGACCTTACGAAAAGATGTTAAGCATGCTGCCAGACATTTATCATCTTCGCACGTTTGGATCTCTGGCGTATGCTCATGTTGGAGCCGACGCATGGCGTCGCAAGTTAATCGTCACGCCAAGATCGGATATGTTTTTGGATACGCGGCCGATGTGTTGGGTTGTAAGCTCTACTTTCCCGATGATTGTACGCGAAAATTTGTACCAGACAATTGCGTAAATGAGCACGTTCTTTATCGCGACCGCCACACCACCACGGCTACACTCTCGGAAGCCAACAGCGATGTAAATGCAAGTATCGAAGAGGGCGATTATGTTGCAGAAATCGAAGCCACGGATAGCATTATTGACGACGACGACATCTTAACCGATGCACAAGACGCGGGTAAACAAGACAGTGTTTGGACACGGCCGGTCGGTAATCGTGGCACAGTTGACTCTGTCCATCGAAATGTGGATGACTTTGGGGCTGGTGATTCAGACTGTAGGATCAGTAACATGGCTGAATTTGATGGCGACTCGATGGAAGAAGATGACGCTGGCGTAAGTGGCCAAGTCGAGGAGGATTTACAAGGTGGTATGAGCTGTACCAGCTCACACATCAGCTCAATTGACGGTTACAAGGCTCGGTTGAGTATGATGCAGAAATTGACATGAAAAATGTTGGTAGCACGGCAGAACTAGCAGTCTAAGTGGAGCCTACGATACGCAAGCGTGCACAGCTGTCGTCTACAGGAAGTATCACTGGTGATGTGCAAGTAAAGAAGAGGCGCGAGAATTTGCGGAGTACGAATCAGCGTCGATTGCCAGCGCGTTTTAACGAATATATCGTTCGTGCAACAATAAGTACCTGCAGTGACGGATACAAAGGACTATCAAAAGGTAATGTCAAGATCCCGAAAAATCATGTGGAAGCACTACGATCTGAACATGCACGCAAGTGGCGTGACGCAGAGTTAAAGGAGCTCGAAGCACTGAAGATGAAAGGAGTGCTCGAGGAAATTTCGCTAAAGGATGTGCCACCTGCGACAAACATGTTGACGACGATGTGGGTTGATGCAGTAAAAGCAAATGAGCAAGGAGAAGTGATTCGCTTAAAAGCACAATTAGTTGCTCGCGGTGACAAGCAGCGCGAAGGTGTTGGTTTTATATAAACCTTCGCACCGGTCGCTTCTATGGCGTCATTTTGGTAATTTGTGGCATTGTCAGCCTTATTAGGATGGAGATCTACAGCTGTGATGTCAATACAGCATACCTTAATGCAAACCTACAAATTCTACAGTACGTAAATCGTATGTAAGTACATTTCAATGAGAACAGCAATGCATTTAAAATTAAAAAAGCACTGTACGGCTTGCGGCAAACTGGAAGAGAGTGAAATTCCGAAATTGACAGCTTTCTTCAGGCGCACGATTTTTTAAACATGGACACACAGAGCCGTGTTTATACGTACGGTCGCAGAAAGGAGTGGTGTGTCTGGCGTTGATTTACGTCGACGATCTCTTGGCACATACAAAGGAAGTCGAGCAAAAGAACAAATTATTTAGTTGCTGGAGAAGCAGTACGGAATCAAGGATCACGGGTGTGCTTCTCAGCATCTTGGTATTGAAATCATCCATAGTGATGCGAGCTTAACTAAACGACAAACTCAGTATATACGCGAAGTGCTCGAGCGATTTGGATTCCTGTCCGCACGCAGAGTAGAAAAATCCAGTGGACTGTACCACACGACTCGTGCATGAGGACGAAAAGCCAAGTGACGAGATAGTTTCATTTCCTTATCGAGAGGCAGTTGGTTCACTTATGTACTTAGCTACGTCGACTCTACCAGACATAACGTTTGCAGTCGGTTTGCTCAGTCGGTTCGTAAATCAACCGAGCAACAATCATGTTAAAGCGGTGAAGCGAGTATTGCGCTATCTGTCCAGCACTTTAAAAATACGGTTTAAACTACCAGCTACAACATGGAAGTACAAGTTCAATCGTCATTGACGGATTCAGCGACAGCGATTGGGGAGGTTATCCCGACACGCGGCGCAGTGTGACTGGTGTGTTATTTAATTTTGCGGGTGGTGCGGTGTCATAGCTCTCTCGATTGCAAAGTGTCGTTGCCCTAAGCACGGCTGAAACAGAATACATCGCGACATGTGAGGCAGCAGCTAAAGAAGCAGCTTCGCTTTGCAACATAGCGGAGAAAACGTTGTATACGACACACAAGAGCACTGACGTGGACATTAGAGTCGAAAACTTGAGTGCAATGACGCTGTCGCTATACCCGACATTCAGCCGACGTGCTCGCCACATTGAATTGCGTTGGCACTACGTAAGCGAGCAAGGTAAAAAGAACAAGATCAAACTTTAGGGTCAAAACCGAAGATTGTGCAGCGGATCTTCTCACGAAGGCGACAAGTGCAGACCGTATGCAGCACTTCAGTTTATACATTGGGCTTATGGATGCGGACAAGTCAGACACAAGAATGGCCTTCAGCATTGACCGGGGACACTGTACTATTCGAATGCGCAGAGCAAGCTATTGCGCGTCGACGAGGGCGTGTTGAACTTCGAGTTGCAAGTTGGATGTTGGAGACGACAGTTGGTTGTATAAGCCAAGACGACCGTTGGAAAATTGGGTAAACGGCGACGGGGCCAAACCGACAGTTGGAAGGCGACAGGGCCCGTGTGACGATAGTGTTGATTGTGCAGGTTGTCGTCATACGACAATGTAGTTTAATGTAGGTTGATTAATATTAGAGTTACATTGATATCTTAATTATCTTGGATACGGTTCTCTTTTTACTTTTTACTCAACCTAGATGTTTGAGTAGATCAGCTCCCTCTGCACGTACTAGTGTACGTGAAGTTTCGCGGCACCCCGAACAAAGGGCGCCCTGTTACACCTGGTAGCACTTTGTAGTCCGTCCAACGACTACTTAGTGTCCGTCCAACATGTTCATGTTGCACCCCGAACAAAGGGTGTCTGGGCCTGAGACTCCCTCTTCTGATCTCTACTCTACCGTCTCACTAACTTTGTTTATAAGGTTCCTCCTTTCTCTCTAACATCTAATCGTATCTTTGCTCCCCTCATTTTTTGTGTTGGTTGTTATGCCTCCCATCGTATCCGTCCTTATCTCTGATCCTTCAGTTATATCTATTAACTTCTTTTTGTTTTACTCCCCGTTCATCCCCCCTACCATCGTCCTTTAGTCTGATTGCTATGGTCGTCCCAATCTTTGGGCATTTCACTTGTTGGTGCGTCCACTTTCCAACATTTCATCGCATGGTAAACAAGCCCATGCGTGCGCGAGCAAGCCGCCAGGGTGTCTGTGCGGCCCGACAAAACCACACACTGTTCCCTCGTTGCTGAACGCGTGTCACGGTGACGCAGTGGTCATGAGCACTCGTGTCTTCACAGAGTACAGCCGGTGTCGTACTCTCCTGATACGGTGACGGTCCGTATCGACGGCAATTGAATCCAAGCCGCCTGCCAAGCGTGGCATGGCGATGCTTTGGTCGCAGATCTTTGGTTCATCTGATGAGTCAGATGAACCACGCCAAGGAAGGCTCGAGGTCGCGAGTCGGCGCTAATAGTGTGTCGTTCTCCAATGGACACCACTTCACACGTGCCAGTACTGTCGGCACGTCGCAGGAAGAGGGGACCGCAAGTGTTGCGTCTCGCTCCAGAAAAACATGCCCAAACGTCATGTCTGTCGACGGTGTTTCGCCGTTTCGTCGTCAACCATCACTGACCCCAGCGCGAAAACTTCGCGCTGAACGATTCTTCATCGATTCTCACACGATGGTACAGTGGGATCACAAACGTGATTCCTCACTACCAGCGTGGAACGCCTACACCATCCGAGGTATCGTGACTTGGAACGACAAACTATCAAAGCTCGTGATAAGTTTGAAAACGAACCCCGACATGCACCTACAACTGCATCGTCTGTCAAGGAGAAAGTTACCCTGCTTCTTGGGAGTCGTGCCCATGTTGTGTGAACAACCTGCACGACACCTAAGGAGGCTTACCTCCTTACCAGCCGTGGTGGCGTACGTGTCTCTACTGAGATGTACGAAGGGATTGACAACCTGAAATCCCTTTACGACCGTGCCGGGAAGACTTTCTCCGGCGGTCCTTCTGCGGCACAGGATGTGCCGCGTCGTACTGCTCGACCAGACCCAGTACGTCAACCATCAATTGGGAGCGGGGCTCCCAAGAATCCCAGGACGGGGATAGCCGCGCCACCGGACGAGGTAACTCGTCCGACGTCCGTTCACGTCGCGGTGGTTCAACAGCTGCTCAACTAGATAGCGCTGGCCACCGCGAGAGTCCTCTAATGGAGGTGGAGGAGGAGGAAAGACGCTCTCCACACGATCATGTGGATCGGTGTGTTCCCGAGAGTTTTTGATCGCGTAACGCAAGGGTTACCGACGATCTCGAGCATGAGCGGAATAGGGTCTCCAGATGGTGGACACTGCCTCGAAGCATCGAGCTGAGTTTGCCTTTGCTCAGCTTGAGAACGAGAGAGCTCTGACATCTCTTCGTGACGAGCTAAGGGTAGCTCGTGGGATTGTTGATCGGTCTCGGGATCAGATAGCTGCTCTTCAGACCCTTGTTGATGCCCACCATCGGGAGCACAAGGCGCAGAGTAGACGGATCGCACCTACGCCTCCTCTGCCGTATCCCTTTTTTGTTCAGCGCAAGTTCCCTTCCTTCGTCTTCATGGCTCACAACCACTCAGATCCCTGGCTAGTGATTCCTCCCCATCGTTCGATGTTCGTCTACGCAGTAACTCGTTTTGGATCCCTCCCCCGCGGCCCGTATCAAATCCCTGTCCCCCCTTCACCGCGTAATCCTCGGCCCCTCTCTCGTCGAAGTCCACACGCCCCCGCCCGACCCCTCACCACAACCTTCCTCCCAACCCCCCCCAAGCCCCAACCAACCCCACAACAAAGCAACTACATTTGATCATAATAATTCTTGAAAGTTCACTACATCCTTCTTTTTGAGTCCATCCGTTGTTGGTCTTTAATGGGACTGTCCTGCCCCTTTCAGGGTGGAGGTCACTCAGTGCAGATGGACGAGGGGACACCTCGTAAGCGTAGTGTCTGTCTTTTGACATCTGTTGCATCTCTCAATCTTGTAGCCTGTAGAGCGACCTTCTGCTCTCTACATAACAGAGTTCCATCGGCTCTGGACCTCCGTTGTCATATCGTCTCGGTTGACGATATGAGTCAGCTGCACCTGTCTCAGACTGAAGTCTCCTGCTCCCAATTGAAAGGCTGTTCTAGTGAATCTAGTTCAAGCCGGAACAGGTAGTCTTGACGGGACCACCCAAGACCCTGCATGAACACCGAAACCAACTGTGTTCATCCACCGGATTGGAACTTATACAACTCGTGAGATGTCGTATATGTTGAGTAAGTGCACATCACGCTTACCCTGTTGAGTTCAAGAGTTCGGTTCGAGCTCTGAACTCAGCTCTAGGCGGTTCAAACGTTTGTCTGAGCCGCGACTTGAAGATCAACGAAAACGCATATGGGTCGTGCAGCGAGCCCCAGTGCCCAAGTCTTGGACGTCCTGCCAGATTTGATTGGCAAATGCAACTTGCATATCCGTCGTCGAGCGAGCGCCCTTATGGCGTCATCAATTCGACGAACCATCTCAAGAGGGAGTCTTCTTCGACCCCTCTATACTTTGAATGTCAATCTTCAAAGTCTCGGGCCGACGGAGTGCATCGACCCACCAGCAGAGCCTGCTGCTGTCTCAACAGTTCAAACTGTTGAGCACCTTGTTCTCTCAACAACTCTGCTTGTTGAGAACCTTGTTGGTGAAGCAAGGCTACTTTCTCGCGTTCAGCGTCAAGTTCATTTTGGATGAACTTGGCGATAGTAGCATGTTGGGCGTCTCTATTGAGAGCCTCTAGCATGACGCTAACAGCATGGATGCCCATGGTCGAACCCATTCGTTCAACCGCATCCCATTCGACATCGCTCAAATGGGAGTAGCCGTCACGCGTAGCGTGAAAGCTTTGGTCATCTTCATCATCAACATATTCATGTTGGATGTGAACGGGTCCTTGGACGGACTACGAAGTGCTACCAGGTGTAACGGGGCACCCTGAAGCTTGTACTGGTGACAGTACAAGCTACTTATTCTGATAACAGAATAAGGCGGTGCCTCGTAACTTCACGTACACTCGTACGTGCAGGGAAGACGGTAAGAAGAAGCGAGTACTCGGTTAGAGTAAAAGTAGAACTGTATTTATAATAGTTAATGTCTGCAATAAATCACTATTTATCTTCATCTAACTATGTCTAAATACAAATGTGTAAATCAATTATCTGCTCACCACTCATTGCGTGCGTCCGTCGTGGGGTCTTCGTTGGTTGATATAATGGCCTATATCAACCAATTAGGAACTACTTGTAAGTGCTACAGAATATTTGTCCTTATGACAATATTCTGAGAATAAAACTCTTACAGTTATATTCTATTAACAATTTCTTATAAATTGTTATGTAACGATTCACCCCGTTACAGTGTCCCGTTACACCTGGTAGCACTTTGTAGTCCGTCCAACGACCACTTAGTGTCCGTCCAACATGAATATGTTCGACGTAGAAGACGACAGCTTTCACGTCACACGTGAAGGCTACTCCCATCTGAGTGACTCATAATGGGAGGTAGTCGGCCGCATGAGTGTGCTCATGGGCGAACCCGCCATCAGTGGCATGTTGGAGTCTCTAAGCAGAGATCAGCAACATGCTGTACATGTTATAAAAGAGACGTCTCGGCATGATGTGACAGAAATGTGTTCTGTAGCTCAGCCGGTTTGGTATGGGAGTACCATCCCAAAGGTCACTGGTTCGACACCAGTGGGGGCGTACAAACTACAAGTTTAGCCTTCGGGATCTGGTGTTTGGGGTTCACCAGCACTGTACTGCCAGACAGTGACGTCCCCCATTTTCGGTACGTTTGGGTGTTCAGAAACGCACGACCAGAATTATAAGCGTACGACTAGACGATTAGTAATGCGCGACTAGACGATTAGTAATGCGCGATATAGCGATGAGGAACGTGTAGTCGAAGAATCCTGTAGGCTTAGAGTAGCAACAGGGTTTGTGAACTAAGGACCTAAATATATTCACTTTGCATTTTACCATCTAGTGCTCGACTGCCTTAGCCTTCAGGTTATGAGCCCAAGCCTCGTTTCCTCCAACGAAGACTCCGACTACGCCTTCGCCATGGACGCTGCCTCAACTCCGACCGCCCGCATCAACAAGTTCCACGGGACCAACTTCCACACATGGAAGTTCAAGATGCAGATGGTCCTGGAAGAGCGCGACCTGTGGGAGGTCACATGTGGAGAAGTCAAGCTGGAGCACTGCACCAACGTGATGGATCAATCGACGTTCAAGAGAAAGTCATGCAAGGCGCTGACGATCATCTGTCTCGCGATGGAAGATTCGCAGCTGCCGCTGGTCCGTTCAGCGATTGGAGCGTACGATGCATGGTCAAGACTGGAAGGGCATTACGAGAAGAAGGATCTGGCGAACAAGCTCTTTCTTCGTCGACGCTTCTTCACAACGATGATGGATGAAGGTGATGATGTGCTGGAGCACATCAACAAGCTCAAGACTCTGGCGGAGCAGCTCGATGCGGTTGGCGCTCGGGTCAGCGAGGACGACTTGGTGATCATGCTTCTTGGTAGTCTAAGCGAGTCGTACCAGTTTCCGATCGCGGCGTTAGAGTCTCGTGCTGACTTTCTGTCGTGGGAACGCGTGACGTCTCGGCTAATGCATTAAGACATGAAGCGCGAGGAACAAGGTGGCGGCGTCGACGCATCCGCGCACGGTCAAGGTCAAGCGTTCATGACAAGCAATCACAGCAAGCGAAAAGGAGGACTGCCTGTGCGGAAGGCCAGTGCATGTCACTACTGTGGCGAGCAAGGACATTGGATTGCCAAGTGTCCAGTGAGGATCTGCGAGAATGCGGAACGGCAGAGGTCGCAAAGAGCAAGCGTCGCGCAGGTTGAAGAAGGCTCTGGCGACTTTCTGTTTTCAGTTGATAAAGATAAAATCAAGCTGTGTGAAGAGTGGCTGGTCGACTCAGGTGCGACTCAGCACATGACATACTCAAAAGAGTACATGAAAACTACCAGAAGTTCTCGCCAGTGGATGTGCATTTGACGGATGATGGCGTGGTACAAGCAGTGGGAAAGGGAAACATCATCATGTCAATGAGGACAAAACACGGCGTCAAGAAAGGTGTACTTACTGGTGTGTGGCACATTCCCAAGTTGACGCGCAACCTGTTCTCAGTGAGGCGTTTTACGAAGCACATTGGCCCCGTCACATTTGAAAGTGACGGGTGCTTTGCTCAGTCGAAGAGTGTGAAGTGGCAGCTGGGTACGCGCAAGAGAAAGGGCTTATTCAAGTTATGCATGACCCCGCTCATGCCAGATGAGGCAAATGTGTCAAGTTCAACCGGTTTCAATGGGACCAACCGGTCGTACCTCTGGCATCTTTGACTTGACCATATTGGCCATAACAGTCTAGACTCCATTGTCAAGGAGGGCTACAGCATCGGAATCAACATCACGTCTGTGCAACAGTGAGGGATGTGTCAAGGGTGTGCTCTTGGCAAACAAACTCGAGTGAGCAATATGCCAAAGTCCCCAGAGAGTGCAAAGAAGATGCTAGAAGTCATCCACAGCGATGTCTGTGGTCCTATGCAAACAGCTTCGCTCGGTGAAAGCAGATACTTTGTCACTTTCATTGACGAGTATTCACACTTTAGTGTGGTGTTCTTGCTTGAAAACAAGTCTGAAGTGGCTTCTAAGTTCGCCAAATTCGTCGCATTTGCAGAAACTCAGACAGGCAACCGCGTCAAGGTACTTCGCAGTGACAAAGGCGGAGAGTACAAGTCGCGTGAGATGACCAAGCTGTGCAGCAGTCGTGGCATGGTACAAAAGTTCACGCCTCCCTACATACTTCAACTCAACGGAGTGGCAGAACGGATGAACAGGACATTGGTGGAATGCGCTCGCTGCATGTTGGAGCATGCCGGACTGTCCAAGGCATATTGGGGTGAAGCGGTTGTAACCGCTACATTCTTCGAAATCGATGTCCAACACGTGCCACAAGTCAAGACAAGTCGCCACATCATATCTGGACCGGCAAGAAACCGCTTTTTTCAAATCCGAAGGTGTCCGGTTGTCACGCATACGTGACGGTCCCGAAACAAAATCGCACCAAGTTTGATGCGCAGTCAGTCTATTGCCGCTTCATAGGATGCTCTGAACACGAGAAAGCGTATCGCTTTGAAGAGATCAAGAGCCGTCGTGTTCTAGTGAGTCGCGACGCAAAATTCATGGAAGACGTCTTCGACAGTGGGAGACGCACCGAAAGAGACGCAGAAGATGTCTTTGAAAGTCAAGAAGATGAGAGTACAGGTCATGATTGTTCTTCCGTACCAATTCTGCCTGACGAAGAAGACGCTGCGCAAGACCAATATACGGAGCCCGGCAGTAAGCGCCACACGTGAACCCCTTCGTTGGAACAAGCTGTGGAGATTCCGGTTCCCAGGCGGCAGAGTCAAAGAATTTTGCTTAGAAACATGTGGGCGGTGGCACAAGTCGAGGAAGACTTTGAGACAGCCTACTTTGTGGATTCAGTGGGAGATATGCCGACAACGTTTAAGTCGGCGATGGAATCCAACAACGCGGTCAAGTGGAAGGAAGCGTGCGACTCCGAAATCGACTCCCTCCGCAAGAACAAGACATGGCAGTTGGTGCAATTACCTAAGGGTCGGAAAACTATCGGATGCAGATGGGTGTTCCGCGTCAAAGAGAATCAAGATGGTGGGATCGAGCGTTTTAAAGCGCGCCTTGTTGCAAAGGGGTTCTCGCAGAAGATTGGCATCGACTACGGGGAAACATTTGCTCCGGTTGCCAAATTCACTTCGATTAGAGTCATCCTCAGTCTGGCAGCCAAGTACCATCTTGATGTGCACCAGATGGATGTCAAGACCGCGTTTCTGAACGGCGAGCTGTATGAAGACATCTACATGGCGCAACCGGACGGCTACATCGACGAAGATCACGAGCATTTCGTTTGCAAACTGCAGCGGTCACTGTACGGACTAAAACAATCACCGCGGATGTGGAACGAGACCATCGACGAGTTCATGATCAAGATCGGATTCAAGAAATGCGAGTCCGATCACTGCATTTACATTAAGCGAGATGAGCAGCGCATGATCTTAGTGGCACTCTACGTCGATGATTTAATCATCGCCAGCAGCAGCAACAAAAGCCTTCGTGAAGCCAAAAGCGAACTAAGTGAGAGGTTCGAGATGACAGACATGGGGAAGCTCAAGTTCTTTCTTGTAATTGAGATTGAGCGGGACGAATCAGGAGGGACACTGTCATTGCGGCAGAGCAAGTTCGCGAAAGACATTTTAGAGAAATTCGGCATGCTGAATAGCAATTCAGTCAGGTCGCCACACGACCCAGGCCTGAAGTTGACCAATGCCATGTGCGAAGGAGGTTGCAAGCATGAAGAAAGGATGGCAAATTTTCCCTACCGGAACGCCGTAGGATGCCTCATGTACCTTATGGTGAGCACCCGTCCCGACCTTGCAGCTGCAGTGGGAGTGCTCAGCCAATTTGCATCCGATCCGTGTCCCACACTCTGGCAAGCACTTAAGAGGGTTTTTCGGTATGTAAATGGTACCAGGACACACAGAATTGAGTTTCAAGCAAGTAAAGACGACAGACTTCAAGGCTACTCGGATGCAGACTGGGCCGGCGACATAGAGTCAAGGCGCAGTACAAGTGGCTACGCCTTCATGATGAACAACAGGTGCATCAGCTGGAGGAGCAAGAAGCAACGAACGGTGGCACTATCACCAACGGAAGCAGAGTACATGGCGCTATCGGAGGCTACACAAGAAGCAGTTCGGTTGAGGGTGTTCCTGTGCGAACTTGGTGAGATGACAAGTAACCAAGCTGTCAAGATCTTCGAGGACAACCAAGGAGCGATTGCATTGGCCAAGAACCCAGAATTTCACAAAAGCACCAAGCACATCGACATTCGCTACCATTTTGTTCGTGAAAAGGTTGCTGAAGGACAAGTAGTGCTAGAATACTGCCCAACCAAGGACATGAAGGCCGATATAATGACCAAGCCGATCACCGTCGTACAGTTCCAGAAACTTCGTACCATGTTGTGCATCAAGGCGCCACGATCTGCCGAGACGAGTGGGAGTGTTGTAAAAGAGACGTCTCGGCATGATGTGACAGAAATGTGTTCTGTAGCTCAGCCGGTTTGGTATGGCAGTACCATCCCAAAGGTCACTGGTTCGACACCAGTGGGGGCGTACAAACTACAAGTTTAGCCTTCGGGATCTGGTGTTTGGGGTTCACCAGCACTGTACTGCCAGACAGTGACGTCCCCCATTTTCGGTACGTTTGGGTGTTCAGAAACGCACGACCAGAATTATAAGCGTACGACTAGACGATTAGTAATGCGCGACTAGACGATTAGTAATGCGCGATATAGCGATGAGGAACGTGTAGTCGAAGAATCCTGTAGGCTTAGAGTAGCAACAGAGTTTGTGAACTAAGGACCTAAATATATTCACTTTGCATTTTACCATCTAGTACTCGACTGCCTTAGCCTTCACCATCAACATACAAGGAAAACTTGCTTTGAAACACAGAAGATAGCCTTGCTTCACCAGCTAGGTTTGCATCATTCGGTGGGCGGGCCGACGCGCATGCGTCGACTTGGAACCTTGAAGATTGATATCTCAAGGTACAAGGGAACCGATGAAGGTTCCCTTTTGAGATGGTTCGTCGAGTTAGACGATGCCATCAGGGCCCGTCACATTGAGGGTGACGAGATGCAAGTCACCTTCGCCCTGTCCAATTTGACAGGACGAGCAAAGACTTGGGCCTTAGGGCTCAAGCTTCACGATCCAAACGTGTTTGAGTCGTTAGATTTCTTGAAGTCTCGACTCAAAGAGACGTTTGAGCCGCCGAGAGCCGAGTTCAAAGCACGCTCTACACTCTTGAGGCTCAAGCAAGGTAAGCGTGATGAGCATGCTTACGCACAACACCTGCACTACCTTGCGAGCAGCGTCATGGAAAACCCGATTGATGAGCACATGCTCAGCAAGGTTTTCATCTACGGCATCGTAGATGAACCGGTGAAGATCCACATGTTCGAGAGAGCTCTCATACGCTAGAAAAGGCGATAGCGTATGCGGAACAAGAAGAATTCAGCCTGAGACATTCTTGAGGCTAACTAATCAAACTATCGTCTGACGAGACGACAGGAAACAGGAGGTCTCGAACCAATGGACCTCTGTTACATCGAGTGCGAGAAATCTTGCTCCCGAGCCGCTAGCTTTCGACAAGATGCCATCGCTGTCAGAAGACCGAACACTACGCTCATGAGTGTAGCGTCCCAATCATCGCATCACGTCCAAAGGCAGGACGTGATGACCGCCATTGGCCGAGGAAAGGTCCAAGGCGCGGATCCGACCATGTCGCTAAGCCGCGACAGCAAGTCGGACCGTCAAATAACGGAAAGGGTCAGTAGTGGCGGAGCACCCTGCTGATCCAGCAACGTCAAGAGAATTCGCAGGACTCTTGACGAACAATCGCTCCCAACACGCAGTCGCTGTGTGTTACTGTCCCTAGTGATGAGGAGTCTCTCATCACTTTGAAGATCGAAGTGACAAGTGGAATGTCACTTTGAGCCCTAGTTGACTGTGGGTCGTCGAACAGTTGTATTCGACGCAAGTCGCTAGAAGATAGTAGGCTCGACTATGTTGAGCGAGAGCTCCCTCCAACGAGAATGACGGTGCGCCCAGCGACAGGCGCATCCGTAACAGTGAACAAACGTGTAGTGGGAATCCACTACACGCTAGAAGGAAAGCAGTAAATATGATGACTATATCGTACTCGATTTGCATGACAAATTTGATGTCATTCTCGGTCTGCCATGGGTTAGCTGGCAGCATCGATCCGTGAAGATGCCTGCCGTTTGTTCATCGGATGGCCATGTGATGAACGTCTTGTAGCGTCCACAAGCATGTGGATGTACTACGAGTGAGTGCGATGGCCTCACTTGTGGTACGGTCGTTAGTACGACTGCACAAGATCACAGTGTAGAAGGCCACTACACTATGGAAAAGCTTCCAGCACCTGTGAAGAGACACAGGCTGCGCCGAAGTGTACAATACTCGAAGATATCGAGTGGACTGGAACACGGATGCACATTAAGAAGGATGCATCCAAGAAATGAGATGAGTAATATTCAGAACAGACAACACGCTAAAGCGAGATCAACTCACAGAGGGTCGATCGTAGAGCGAATTCGGTCGACTGAAAGAGAGACGATCGATGAGGAAGTGACTGTGGTAGTGCACCCACAGTCAGTACACGTATTGAATGAAAGTTCTAGCGTTCCGGGGAGTGATAACTCCCGAAAGATTTATGTCGAGGGTGTGGATCCCCAGTCACCTTCGGATGTATTTTCCCAGTAGATCACCGAGACAGAAAATGTCATGGTGAATGACTGATCGAGTGTAGGCGCTTATACACTTGATCTGGTTACACCTCCGAAGTCAGCTTCGAAGGTGATCAAGTTGCCAACACGATAATTTAAAAGATTCTTGCGAGATCTGCGTAGTGACAAGATCAAGCGGATCTGCGTACACGTCACAGAGGACGCGTAAGTCGTCAATATTCGGTCGGCACAAGTGTTTACTGAGAACGAACGGGTTCTCAGTAGCTCATCGATGGACGAAAGTGTCTTCGATAAGAAGACTCGTATTGAGAGATATGCATCTTAATCCTGGGAGTCGCCCCAGACAAATCCTTAATATAAGTCCTTGATCGCATTCAGTAATGTTTTCCCTGAATCTGTGACTTGCGAGTTGCCTAAAGACAAAGGCACTCGACACGAGATCAATTACTAAAACGAGCTCGAAGTACGGTGTCGTGAAGCAGTGGCCACTGCCTGGTGAAATAGTACTTTCGATTGAAAAATTCTTTGCGATCGCTTGGCTGCGAGCCGTGTGAGGGAATCAACATCCTCTCACGGCTCTCCGACCTTCTGTGTGCGAAAGGCCACAGGAGGGTGGCGGATAGTGCATTTATTCAATAAATTGAACACTGCAACGGCACCAGCCCGTACGCTGATACCGAGAAAGGACGTCATCATAGATGGTATGGCAAAAAGTACCATCTTTTCGTCCATGGATCTGGTGGATGGTTTCGATAAGACCGTCATGCGTGAGCAAGCCATCCCGCACACAGCAGTGATAACCCCCAGCGGTATGCTGTGGGAGTGGCTAGTGATGTCACAGGGGATGAGTAACGTCCCTGCAACGTTCAACAGATGTGTTTTCAATCTGTTGAGACCGGTGCAGAACTTTGCACCGATTTACTTTGTCGATGGATTCGTCCATAGCCGAGATATGGGTGGAAATACGGACGTTGAAGATTTTGAATCCACTTCCGAAAGGTTCTAAAACTTATGCGTGAGCATAAGTTGTTCGCGACCTTCAAGAAGTGCATCTTCGCAGCGAGCGAAATACCACTTCTCGGTTGCATCGTGGGTAAAAACGGCGTACGCCCTGATACGGAAAAGATCAGAGAATTAGCGACTAGCCTGTGCCAGTCGACGTTAACGGACTTAACAAGTTACTTGGTCTAACGGCGCTCTTACAAAAGTATTTGCGCAACTACGCCGAGATGACGGTACATCTCTCTCGTTTGTTGAAGAAAAAAGAGAGGTGGTCACGGAGTGCTTAGTGTCAGCACTCCTTCAGAGATATAAATAAGGGTTGATACAATCGCCTGTGTCGGCGATTGCAGACCAGAGCAGACCATTCAACATGGTCTATAATGCCGGCGATTTTAGCGAACGGCTGTGTGTTGATGCAGTATAACTCAGAAGGCGCTGAGTGCGTCGTCTGCTATTAGCCCCTTCAGCTGTCAAGCGGAAAGACTTAGTGCATGACAAGGCACTACTTGCCATAAAGTACGCACTAGCGAAGTTTCAGGTCCATTTCCTAGAAGATAGACCGTCTATTGTGTATACCAACCACGCGTCGTTTTGCACGGCCGTAAACAGTCCGTCCCCTCGCAAGGACTGGCGAGGATGCTATATTTCTTTGCAGAGTACTACTACTTCTCTATCGAGTATAATCTAGGACGATTGTGTGTCGTCGCTGATGCTGTTTCGCGTCATACCGGTTCCAAGCCGGCTGCTCAATCCAATAGTAGGGTTGATCCCACTTTTGCGACACTACCAACCATGCGTCGTTACGCACGGCCGTAAACAGTCCACACCTGATATTTAAATAGGGACGAATGGTGATTGCTGCAATCAAATGATTTTTTGCTAAAAAATTCTGGAATAGGTCATACTTTATAAGAACATTCAATTGTATTGATACTATTATCGAGTCTTCTGCGTATGCGAAAAGCGTACGCAGAAGATGAGTCTCTTCTGCGATTGATGGATTACGTATACAATTCGTGCAGTCAAGCTTTGAAAAGCTTGTCGTCTCAATACCGCACTTCAACCGAACGGTATTCTGTTCGTGATGGACTGCTGCACTAAACAGCAGTCAACGGCGACACACCTCGTGTCTTGGTTCCCGCTCATGATGGTTTGCGATTGCGCATCATGTGTGAGTGTCACGATGCCCCAACAAGTGGGGATCGCGGTAGATAAAAGTCTAACCTCACGGTAAGTCGTGAATTCTACTGGCCCCGCCAGTATGAGTTTGTGCGCAAGTACATTCGCGCTTGCGAATTTTGTCAGCGAGTAAAGCCTAGTCCTTCATCCCGCGCACCCTTGTAGCCTCTACCGATTCAGGCAGAGTGCTGGCAGTCCGTATTGATGGACTTCGTCTTTGTGTTTCCCAAAGACGCTCACAAGAATACTGGTATTATTGTGTTTGTTCATCGCTTCAGCAAGATAGTACATCTTCTTGTTGTACCCTAGTCGATCACAACCCAGGGCTGTGCACGTGCTTTCATTGATACTTTCTTTCGACTTTACGGGATATCATTTGAACTCGTGTCTGACAGGGATCCCCGCTTCACAGCGGAGTTATGGCAATCCGTGTTCCGCTCACTTGTAACACATTTGAAGATGTCGACTTCTGACCATTCAGAAACAGATGGCAGACGGAACGCGTCAACTTCGTCCTTGTTAAGATACTTAGAGGGTATGTCCACTCGTTTGCGAGTTGAAGTAAGTTCTCGCCGATGACGGAATTCGACATCAACAATTCGATGCATGCGTCGACAACGTATACACCGTTCTTCGTGAATGGCCTACGCCGTCCACGTTTACCCTCCTTCTTAGAGTGTGACTCTAGTTCAAGGGGGGGGAGGTGGACTCGCTCGAACAAAAACCGATCTGGTTCTTGCTCATCAACCGTCGACAATGGTGTCGACGTGATGAATGCCGGTGTCAATGCGATCAATATCGATGATGATGATGATCACGATGCTGGTATATTCAAATCGCCAATGACTGCCAAAGTGAGGACGATGACATCCTCACTGGTGAAGACAACGTCCTTTCAGCAGTGCACACGAAGCGCACTGCTGTTGACAAGGATGAATCAGCAGAGGAATTTCTACTGACTCACGAAGCGGTTGTCCGCTTCGTTCAGGACTCTTTTGCAGATGCACTACACAGACAGGAGAGAAACGCAGACAAACATGGAAGAGCAAGTGTTCTTTCATTTGATGAAGGAGATTCAGTTTTACTGTCTACATTAAATCTACCGAAACACGCAGTGACAAACGTGGGCAGCAGTAAATTACCAAGTATATTGATCCATTTCACGCCCAAGTACATCGGTCCATCTCGTGTGTTGCGCCGAATGGGCAACGCATACACGATTAAACTGTCCCGTAAGGTGCGTACGCATCCTACGTTGTACGTTGGACATCTCCGCCCGTACTATCAGTACAATCCCGTTTCGAGATACGAAGAACACCTCTGCGATCAAGAGCCGAGACCACCCTCGAATGGTCCCGTTTCAACGATACAGTATGGTAACTAGCGAAGAGCCCCGCTCACGCAGTTGAGAGATGTCATGACGAGCTGCAGTCATCTCGTCACGAAGAGAACGAATCGAACGTTCTTTCTCAATTTGCGCTAGCGTAAACGTGGCACAATTGGTTTGGTTTAACGAAATGTAATTATCCTTTACAAGACCATGGGTTTGGTTTGACGAAATGTTATTATCTTTTACAAGATCATGGATCTCGTAACGCCGATTCCGTTTAGCCAGGTTATCGTGTAACTAATGCGTTACACGGTTCAGTTACTGCACATCTTGCTGATCCAACCCTTGATCCAGATCAGGAGTTACCGCCACCAACACATCCTTCAAGGTATTCTAGTGGTGGTCAAAGCTTTCTGATGAAGCGTATCTTGAACCACCGAGATGTGTAGGGAGTCCGGAAGAGTTACCTCGTCCGCTGGTGTGGCTATCCCCCCGGGTTGGGACATCTGAGCGCGAGGCGCCCAGCTGATCGTTGATGTTCTAGGTCTCGTCCAGTAATGTGACAAGACTAATCCGCTGTGTTCACAGAAGGGCCGTCGGAACCGAACTTTACAAACGCGAGTACAGGGATTGCAAAGCCTAAATCCCTCCAGCCATCTCAGAAGAGATGCACGATCCTCCCAGGAGGGATCATTAGAGAGGTAGGCCTCCCAATGGGCACAATAAGTATTGCCCAGGCAACCTGGACACGAATTGCCACGAGAGAAAGAAAATCCTGCCTCTTTTGATAGCCGGTGCAACTTGTATCGCGCCTTGACTGGGTTGCACTTATCAAACCTGATGCGAACTGCATCAAGTTTATTGAGCCAGGCCTCACGGCCAGTGCACTCGATGTTATGGATGAGGGCGTTCCATCCTTGCACCAAGGCCTTTCCGTCTCGAACACGGCTGCCATTGTACCACCGGTGCTTGAAGAACACATCGGTACATAATTATTCCTCAGCGCGAGTAATTTCCGTGCTGAATTAGGAGTACAGACCCCCTACAGTGGAACAAACGAGATTCGATCCCATGCGAATCCCGTTGTTCAACTGTGGAGTCTCCCGGGATGCCATCATCTTTTAAGGCGTTGAATCGAGTGAATCGATTCAACGCCTTAAAAGATGATGGAATCCAAGGATTCTTAACTTGAGAAGCATGGCGCAAGACATTGTGAGCGGTCCCTGGCCTTTTGCGTGGTGTCAGAATCAGCACTGAAACCAGTAGCAGCTCGATCTCTCGAGTCACTTTTTTCTTGGTGACACAAAGGTGCGTCACCACTATCACCATATGTCCCAGTGTCAGATGAACATGCGTGAAACGAGGATTCGTCAAACGAATCGTTCAATACGAAGATCTCACACATCATAGCCCTATGTTCCTCAGATACAGTCAACCTGGCTCTAGTAGTATCCACCTGGGTGATCCGGAGGCAGGCGGTGCCTTCAAGTCGGATGCATCATTCAACTCGCCGAAATAGATAAGATCTATTTCAGACTCATCCGATTTGCGAGTCGCACGCTGCAGACGCAGCGGATGCATTTGTCGCACGTGGTGACTCTTCACATGAACTAGTCGCAATTGGCCGTGCCTGTTGCTGGCAACAGCAGTTGAACGATCAACTGCTGCTGAGGCTTGAGAAGTAATCTTTTCGGCTCCACGCAGGCGTACATCCGCCTTCTTGGCTGCTTCGGCAGCGCACCGCATTGGTTTTACGACCATGCGAGGAAATCGGTAAATGAGTTGGGTTTGACCAAGGTGCTCCCTTTTACTAGAATAATATAATGGTGATCTTCCTGTCCCATCAATTAATTCAATCACCGGGGTGATTGATTGTTAAGGGCGCATGTGATGGAACGGGGATGCCCGTTACATGATATTGACAAAAAACGCTGTCAATAGAAAGATTGTACAGCGTGACAATCTTTCTTTTAAATGTAACCTGAGATAAGACACATTGAGGGAAAAAACATCTTAGTAAAATATTCATTCGCTGCTCAGCGATTGGTTGATAAAGACGTATTAACCAAGGTTACTACCAACCGCTGCTAGACGCGCGCAATGGGTGATAAGCAGGTTGTCGTCATGCGACAATGTAGATTAATACAGTTGGATAAATACTGCAGTTATAATGATAATTTAGCTTTGTTTAATACAGTTCTCTTTTTCACCTTTACTTAAATCAGCTGTTTGAGTAAAATAGCTTCCTCTGTACGTAAGGGTGTACGTGAAGTTTCGTGGCAACCAAACAAAGGGTATTCCGTTACATCAGAGTGAATTTTCCCCAAAGGGAATTTTATGCTGTAAAGGGGTTACACGTAGTTGGGTTCATTGCAACTTGTGTCTTAGACTCAAGTATGATATCGCACTGGAAGAGATAGAGAATATTTATCGGTTTACAGGGACTGACGGGTGTCGGCCACAAGATAGGAGAGATCTAAGTTGTGCTAACTTGGGACATAGGTGTCTAGATAGGTAATATAAGAATAAATATATTCTATAGGTTTAAATGTAAATACAATTCAGTTCTCCTATTAATCTTAAAGACACGTGCCTTGCGAGGCGTCTTTGGTCGTTGATCACTGATCCATAAATCTTAGTAACTCCTCCTGAATGGTAGCTAGTCACTCTTGAGCACTAAGTGCTGCTGATGAACTGAATTGTTAGGTCCCCTGGAACAGGGACCATTGGCGTTGCGCTTTTTGACTCATTGAGTCTAGTTCTTTAGAACTAAGTTGCTCGTTGAGCGTTAAGTCTTCCTCTGACTTAAAAGGGGCTGTGTAGCTCCGCTACAGAAGCGATCCGGGCTCTGCATCGAGCGCGCTGCACTCGCAGTCTTGGATGGGTGGCAGTGAACGGACGGGTCGCACAAGCGACCAGGAGAGGGAAGTCTACGGACTGAAGGCGTACCCCGCGCCACGTGTACCGCTGCGGCGGTCGCACATTCCAAGTCCTGGGAGTCGCACAAACGACCAATACGGGGCCCACCATCGATGATGGACAGATTTCAGGGGGTGTATCAAGAGGGCTAGGCGTTCTTTACGCCTCGTGGTAACTTTGGTGACTACACTCTACGTTGATGAGCCGCGTAAGCGTCAGATAGAGGACCACCATAGCAAACAGAGAGTCTTAAAGGGAAATTTTTATAACGGGCAGGCGTCCACACGCAAAGTAATCACTTCGATGACCGCTGTTTACGTCGAGAGACCGCGCCAGTGACAAATAGGGGTCCACCCCCAAATTCGGTACTGTTGCCTTGGTGATAGCTCATGACAGTCTACAGGCTTTGTCGGAAAAAAAAAGGCATGGCTTAGGATACACCAGAGATCTTGCACACCGGTACTAAAACCGTGAAAATAGACAATTTGAACCACCACCAATTCTTGTCTCTTTGTTCCTCCAAAGTAAAATATATCAAAATAATTAATAGTATGATGACGTCTACTCACCACTTATTGCGCGCATCTAGCAGCGATTGGTGGGTTGACATCATAACAACATCAACCAATGAGTGGACCCTTCGGTCATCCCAACAGCATCGATTTACTGAATGATATTGTTCATAAAATGTTCAGCGTAATATTCTTATTGCCATTTTCTTCTTAATGACAATTTCGTGAAACGGGCTATCCTGTTACATCACCTCCCTTAACTAATAGTCTACGTGTGACTATCGAATCTAAACATTTACCCGTTGGACACCACCGGGACAGGAAGTACTAATTTGGACCCATATTTTTACTTTCCCTCGCATTGTTGACGTGCCAATGTAGGATGACTTCAAGACGACACATTCTGTTTCTGCACCAGCCTCTGCGGAAAATGTTCGTCATCTGTTGCTCGTTCCCTGCCTGCAGCGCCTGTTGGTGTAGTTGCTCTTGTAAAGTGGTATCCCGTTACAAGATACTGACACCAAACCGTGTCAATAAGGATATTGTCTAGCGTGACAATTCCCTACCAATGTCATTTGAGATGGTTAATATTAAAGGATTGTTGTCCCCTTTGTAGGATGATATTCATTCGCTGCTCAACGATTGATTGATAAAGCCGTACCAATTAAGGTTACCACAGATCGCTGCTAGACGCGCGTAATGGGTGGTGAGCAGGTTGTCGTCATACGACAATGTAGTTTAATGTAGGTTGATTAATATTAGAGTTACTACGATAGCTTAATTATCTTGGATACGGTTCTCTTTTTACTTTTTACTCAACCTAGATGTTTGAGTAGATCAGCTCCCTCTGCACGTACTAGTGTACGTGAAGTTTCGCGGCACCCCGAACAAAGGGCGCCCTGTTACACCTGGTAGCACTTTGTAGTCCGTCCAACGACTACTTAGTGTCCGTCCAACATGTTCATGTTGCACCCCGAACAAAGGGTGTCCCGTTACACCTGGTAGCACTTTGTAGTCCGTCCAACGACCACTTAGTGTCCGTCCAACATGAATATGTTCGACGTAGAAGACGACAGCTTTCACGTCACACGTGAAGGCTACTCCCATCTGAGTGACTCAGAATGGGAGGTAGTCGGCCGCATGAGTGTGCTCATGGGCGAACCCGCCATCAGTGGCATGTTGGAGTCTCTAAGCAGAGACGAGCAACATGCTGCCATCAACATACAAGGGGAACTTGCTTTGAAACACAGAAGATAGCCTTGCTTCACCAGCTAGGTTTGCATCATTCGGTGGGCGGGCCGACGCGCATGCGTCGACTTGGAACCTTGAAGATTGATATCTCAAGGTACAAGGGAACCGATGAAGTTTTCCTTTTGAGATGGTTCGTCGAGTTAGACGATGCCATCAGGGCCCGTCGCATCGAGGGTGACGAGATGCAAGTCACCTTCGCCCTGTCCAATTTGACAGGACGAGCAAAGACTTGGGCCTTAGGGCTCAAGCTTCACGATCCAAACGTGTTTGAGTCGTTAGATTTCTTGAAGTCTCGACTCAAAGAGACGTTTGAGCCGCCGAGAGCCGAGTTCAAAGCACGCTCTACACTCTTGAGGCTCAAGCAAGGTAAGCGTGATGAGCATGCTTACGCACAACACCTGCACTACCTTGCGAGCAGCGTCATGGAAAACCCGATTGATGAGCACATACTCAGCAAGGTTTTCATCTACGGCATCGTAGATGAACCGGTGAAGATCCACATGTTCGAGAGAGCTCTCATACGCTGGAAAAGGCGATAGCGTATGCGGAACAAGAAGAATTTAGCCTGAGACATTCTTGAGGCTAACTAATCAAACTATCGTCTGACGAGACGACAGGAAACAGGAGGTCTCGAACCAATGGACCTCTGTTACATCGAGTGCGAGAAATCTTGCTCCCGAGCCGCTAGCTTTCGACAAGATGCCATCGCTGTCAGAAGACCGAACACTACGCTCATGAGTGTAGCGTCCCAATCATCGCATCACGTCCAAAGGCAGGACGTGATGACCGCCATTGGCCGAGGAAAGGTCCAAGGCGCGGATCCGACCATGTCGCTAAGCCGCGACAGCAAGTCGGACCGTCAAATAACGGAAAGGGTCAGTAGTGGCGGAGCACCCTGCTGATCCAGCAACGTCAAGAGAATTCGCAGGACTCTTGACGAACAATCGCTCCCAACACGCAGTCGCTGTGTGTTACTGTCCCTAGTGATGAGGAGTCTCTCATCACTTTGAAGATCGAAGTGACAAGTGGAATGTCACTTTGAGCCCTAGTTGACTGTGGGTCGTCGAGCAGTTGTATTCGACGCCAGTCACTAGAAGATAGTAGGCTCGACTATGTTGAGCGAGAGCTCCCTCCAACTAAAACGACGGTTTTCCTTGCTACAGGCGCATCCGTAACAGTGAACAAACGTGTAGTGGGAATCCACTACACGCTAGAAGGAAAGCAGTAAAGATGATGACTATATCGTACTCGATTTGCATGACAAATTTGATGTCATTCTCGGTCTGCCATGGGTTAGAAAATGCCAGCCATGGGTGAGCTATCAGCATCGATCTGTACAGATGCCCGCCGTTTGTTCATCAGATGGACATCTGATGAACGTCTAGGAGCGTCCACAAGCATGTGGATGTACTACGAGTGAGTGTGATGGCCTCACTTGGGGTACGGTTGTTAGTACAAGACCTCAGTGCAGATGAGCTCTAAACTGAGGAGGTAGGTGCCGGAGACTCTGCAGATGCACAAGTGGCGCCGAGTGTTCAACACTCGAGGAAGAGTGAATTGGTACAGGGATGCATGCCGTAGTGCTGCAACCAAGAAAGAAGAGACTAGTTGCTGGTGATCGGCAACATGGAGGTTTTAGATTGACTAGTGAGTCGACCATGGAAGATAGTTGCCTGACATAGGTCACGCAGCCACTGTCAGAAGACTTGGAGGAAAAAATCCCGCACGTACTTAAGGAAGACTTTCCTTAAGTGGTACATCCTGAGGGAGAGAGTCCCCATCATCTTGTGAAAATGAATTCCCAGGAAGTAATCAAGAAATTAAATGTATTGGATCACGATGGATCAAGCGTATGCGCTTGCACGCTTGATCCTTTTGCGCCTCCGAAGTTAGCTTCGAATATAGAACGATTGCCAACGCTAGAATAAAACGGTTCTTAAGTGATCCGTATAGTCGCAAAATCAAGAAGATTTGTGTACTCGTCTCGGAGCACGAGTACGTCCCCGATATTCGGTTGGAAATGAAGAGCGAACGAGTTATGTGCAGTTCGTCGATGGACGAAAGTGACATCCATGAGAAGACTCGGATTGAGAGATATGCATCTTAATCCTGGGAGTCGTCCCAGACAAATCCTTAATATAAGTCCTTGATCGCATTCAGTAATGTTTTCCCTGAATCTGTGACTTGCGAGTTGCCTAAAGACAAAGGCACTCGACACGAGATCAATTACTAAAACGAGCTCGAAGTACGGTGTCGTGAAGCAGTGGCCACTGCCTGGTGAAATAGTACTTTCGATTGAAAAATTCTTTGCGATCGCTTGGCTGCGAGCCGTGTGAGGGAATCAACATCCTCTCACGGCTCTCCGACCTTCTGTGTGCGAAAGACCACAGGAGGGTGGCGGATAGTGCATTTATTCAATAAATTGAACACCGCAACGGCACCAGCCCATACGCTGATACCGAGAAAGGACGTCATCATAGATGGTATGGCAAAAAGTACCATCTTTTCGTCCATGGATCTGGTGGAAGGTTTCGATAAGACCATCATGCGTGAGCAAGCCATCCCGTACACAGCAGTGATCACCCCCAGCGGTATGCTGTGGGAGTGGCTAGTGATGTCACAGGGGATAAGTAACGTCCCTGCAACGTTCAACAGATGTGTTTTCAATCTGTTGAGACCGGTGCAGAACTTTGCACCGAGTTACTTTGTCGATGGATTCGTCCATAGCCGAGACATGGGTGGAAATACGGACGTTGAAGATTTTGAATCCACTTCCGAAAGGTTCTAAAACTTATGCGTGAGCATAAGTTGTTCGCGACCTTCAAGAAGTGCATCTTCGCAGCGAGCGAAATACCACTTCTCGGTTGCATCGTGGGTAAAAACGGCGTACGCCCTGATACGGAAAAGATCAGAAAATTAGCGACTAGCCTGTGCCAGTCGACGTTAACGGACTTAACAAGTTACTTGGTCTAACGGTGCTCTTACAAAAGTATTTGCGCAACTACGCCGAGATGACGGTACATCTCTCTCGTTTGTTGAAGAAAAAAGAGAGGTGGTCACGGAGTGCTTAGTGTCAGCACTCCTTCAGAGATATAAATAAGGGTTGATACAATCGCCTGTGTCGGCGATTGCAGACCAGAGCAGACCATTCAACATGGTCTATAATGCCGGCGATTTTAGCGAACGGCTGTGTGTTGATGCAGTATAACTCAGAAGGCGCTGAGTGCGTCGTCTGCTATTAGCCCCTTCAGCTGTCAAGCGGAAAGACTTAGTGCATGACAAGGCACTACTTGCCATAAAGTACGCACTAGCGAAGTTTCAGGTCCATTTCCTAGAAGATAGACCGTCTATTGT